TTGACTTTAACCAAATTGTATAAATTAAAAGCTTGTAAACATTCTTTATCACTAGAAAAAATGAAATAACCAATTAAACATGAAAGTATTATACGCAATAATTAAAGACATCTCTCCTTATATATCCTTTTTTTTCTTTAGTGCATGTAACAGTTCCAACAGGACTGTGAATGGGAAACCAAATGCATGTGAGACAAGTATTAATTATGTGACTAGAGAATAAGACTATACTTCCTGATAACACCTGTTAAAAGTGCAATTATCTCTATTGCAGTTGTGATATCTGTCTATGCTACTACTGTATGAATGAGCACCACTATCATGATGGAGGTGCAGAGAGATTTTTATATGCCTGTTACAACCTACATTCACCAAAACAACACAGACCTGTGTACTCACTTATTTATTTAAATGAGATAATGGGTAGCTTATGGCAGGACAGTCAACATCAAGATGTGGGCACAGAGAGACGGCATAACTATGTATCATTAGTTTCAAAAATACTTTACTTGCAGACTGGCATGAGAGAAGATAATTATCTTCTTCACACTCATCCAGCCGAAGTGCCTGAACGGATAGGCCAGGAAACACGTTCATTATACTTTTACTTTAAATAAAATACTCTGTCCATCTGTCCACACAAGTTCTGTAAGTTAAGATAAATGCTGATACAGTTTTTTCTTTTCTTTTCACAACCCTTCAAATTTTTAAGTACAATCAACTTGGCTGTTTAAGTCTTTCAACTTAAATGACATTAAACTAACTAAATAGTTGAACCTTGGATAACTTATTAAAAATAGTAGAAAATTGCTTAACTTCTTTTGATGAGTTAAAGCAATGTAAAAACATATGTTATCATAACTTATTGATCATATCATTTTTTACAGTGTTGTAAAACCAAACAAGAGGGGAAAGAGCATCAAGATGAATATCTATTTTAAGACAAGACAAACGTTTTAGTCTGTTTAAGGTTTATTTGCTATCCCTTATCTTTGCATGGTCAGCTGTCAGTCCAAATGGTGTCACCTCTATGAACAGGTTTGAACATCCAGAAATATTAGGACAGAAATATTTAAGTCATAATCATATAGTAATCAGTGTTCTTCAGTGGTGTGTTTGGGTGGATAATGGTTAAAGAATCATGGTGCTATTGGGAATAGTGAAAGCTTAATGTCAAAATTGTTGGACAAAATGGTTTCGGGCCAAGTTACTGCTACTGTTACGGTTACTGCTCCGCTACTTAAAATCGATACAGAAGATATTATCTTCTGTGGAAATTACACAAAACTTTTAAAAAGCCTTTGACTTTGAGACTTATAGGCTACAGACCAAAACTGACATCAGTCTTTAACATGTGGGTTGTGTTAAAGATTACAAATAAGTAGGCCTATAACATTTATTTTATATATGATAGGCCTATTAAAGCTATTTTTTTATATTTATTTTCAGACATTTTTAAGTTCCATAATTTAATAATATGACAATAGTGTTATTGCACATGCTGTATTTCCTTCGTTTATTGAATATTTCCATAATGTGAATGTGTTTTTGGTATAGCTAGGTCCATTTCTGATCTATTTTGATCGTTTTGTATATGCCTACCCGTGTTTTAGGTCTAGTAAATCAATTAATACATCAATGTTCTTTAATTTATTAAGGTAGTTTTCGTCGATATCTAACATTAACATTTTACTGCCACCCCGTGGCAAATGCGAAAATAGACCTTGTGGCGCAAAGTAAACCTGTTGGTTTTGACGGGAAATAGTCTCCACTAAATATGAACATTATCTTGGATGATGTGCTAATCACCGATTAACATACTGATCGACATGTTTTGCTTGTCGAGCACAAACATTATTTTAATGGTAATGTAGGCTAGCCTATCTGATAGCATTGTATTCCGAGATCTCACTTTTAATGTTTTGTAAATGTTTGGGGTTGATTTAGGTTCATCAGCCTAACAAATAAATCTACTGAAAGATGGGCTTCAAGAAAAGAAAAAAAGGGGAAAAAAGTGTAGATGCCTCAATAGCATTTTAGCTTTTTTTGTAATTTTTTTAAAAAGTTCCAATATTTTATTTTTGTAGTCCCTAAATTAATATAGGTCATTAAGCTGGTTACTAAATATTTAAGATGATATTACAGACTTTATCTATAGCAATATTATCATATTGAAATAATAATCTATTAGAAGGCTACTCTACAAATAAACTTTAAAGTATACAGTAAGTATTAACTATCATGGTAGCGTATATAAATGCACAATTAATATTAGTATATTATATTAGTAATAGCCTATTATTATTAGAAAAAAAAAATAGTATGTCTTCAGACTAAATCAAGCAGAGTAAGCCACAATCAAATGCAAAGAACACTGTTTTTATTTAAAAAAAAAAAAGAGAAGTTAACAACAAAAATAAAGTGCAATTTCAGGATATTTACATTTGGTCACTCTGGATGTTCACCAGCTGACATATCTTGTATTAAACATTAAAGGAGATCTGAGGAGAACGGGGTGATCGTATGGGAGCTGTGGAGGCAAAGACGGTCCAAACGGAGGTCCTGAAGACACACGAGGTCTTTTTGCTGAGACCAATTGACATCCCACTGCTGAAACAGGGTAATAACAGTCAACTGTGTCATAGTCATAAAAGTTTTTTCTCTTGGTCGCTCCACATTGTGCGTCTACGTAGCGTGGAGATTCCTCCAAACGCGTGCTGCGCATGCGCTTCACTTCGCGGTCGCTCTTTAATATTGATTCTATGGAAAATGGGCCTGTGAATTTGACTTCGCGTTTGTTTTCCGCGACTGTGCAGACTGGCATGAGAGGCTCAGGAGCGTAAGAATGATCTTCTTCACACTCATCCACCCGAAGTGCCTGATCGGATAGGCCAGGAAACACATTCATTATGTATTTGAAATGTCGGCGAAACATTTTTGGAGTAATGCCACTCTCATCCACTTTCCAGAAGTTCTTTTTAGGATTTGGATAATCCGGATCGACTGGTACCTAAAAAAAAAAACACACACAAAATAGAAAACAGACCAGTTACACAATGCTTCAAAAATAACTAGACTTAAAACACCCCAAGGACAAACTTAATAAGTTACACACCTTTGCAAAACACCTGTTTGATGACAGACAGACTCTGATGTTGTTCTCAATGCCTTTTTTGTCTCCGAAGACAAATGGTTCCAGCTTCTTCATTATCTGCACAAATAAGGTACAATGTTAGCCTACTTTATTGAAATGGAAGACAACATTATTAAATCTTATAGGGCTATTTCGATAATTCATGACTTATTTTAGGTTACCTGTTTGAAAGTAAGCATCTTGTCCGGTGAATCTTGAATTGCATATGCAATAAGTCCGATGTATGTTCCTGTAGAGTATTTTTTGTACTTCTTCCTCGGAACGACGCTTGATCGTGGCAGCAAAACATTGAATCCTCCGCTAGTCATCATGATGAGCTCCTGGTCCAAACTCAGACTGAACACTGAGAAGATCAGCCTCCATTTATATCCAGGCTGTAGCTTTCAATTGGTCTAGGTGTTGCATTCCATTAGTAGGCCTAACTGCTGTTCATAAAAAAGAAGTGTTAATGGCCGGGCGTTTTCTTAAGCTATATTCCTCTAAAATATCAATATGCATTGGCAGTTAGACTACTTGCAACAAGAATGAGGTAAATTGTTGATTTACTTTGTTTTTAAGAAATAGCAGTCTAAAACAGTGGGCCTATTTTAGTGTTATACCTCTTGTTTGTTTTGGACAAATGAAGTATAGCCTAGCCACCCACGGTGCAAATAATAGGCCTAGATGTTACTGTATAAATAAAGGTGGATTATATTTGCTCCCCCAAATTAAATACAGTAGCTGGTATTTAATTCAGTATGGTAAGTTAATGCTTTACACTAAAAGTCTGGAGCCTATTACAAAATCTGTTTGCTTAATTAATTTACCTTATGGAACAGGCATTATTTATTAAGTCATTTAATTTAATAAAGTAAGTTTAAAATAAAGAAAACAGCTTATGACTTAGACTATAACAAAGAGAGTTGCTAATATAAGCTTTGTCTTGAATATTTCAGGCATAACCCCAGGGTTTGGCTTGTAGACCTAATTTGAACTGGTTATTGCTCAGTTTCTGTGTTTTAATATAGGCTGTACACACCATTCAAAGGTCTCTTGTGCTCACCAATGTTGCATTTATTTGATAAAAAATACAGTAATGTGTTGTTTAAGAAACATTTCTTATTAGTATCAATATTGAAGTTGTGCAGCTTAATATTTTTGTGTAAAGTGTGATACAATTTTCAGGATTCATGATGGATATAAAGTTCAAACGAACAGCGTTTAGTGCTGTCAAATAGATTCATTGTGATTAATACAACATACAAGTTTGTGTTTATATACTTAAATATACACATAAATTATATAAACAAACTTTTATGTTGTATTAATTAATTAATTAATCTATTGACAGCACTAGCCATAAACGCTGTTCTTTTGAACTTTATATCCATCATGAATCCTGAAAATTGTATCACACAAAAATATTAAGCTGCACAACTTCAACATTGATACTGTTGATAACATATATTTGTTTATATAATATGTATGTATATAAACACAAACTTTTATGTTAGATGCGATTAATCGATTGGACAGCACCATTTACATGACTTTATTGTCAGTTTTGATTAATTTAATAGATCCGTGATGAATGAAAGTATTCATTTATTTATAAAAGAAAATCTTACTGACCTGACCCCATACTTTTGAACAGTGGTGTAGGCTATAGCTTAACACAGATAAATAATAAAATAAATGTATCTTTGTGGCTGAAAAGTTGGACTTAATAAGGTAATTAGGTTGGGTAAATTTAAATACTTTACAAATTAACAGACATACCATGGCACAAATGGAAACAAAAACAAACAAAATAGTCATAGAATTTTTATTCATATTTATTTGAGACAGGTGTTCAATTGCACATTATCTCTCGCTAACGGGTTTTCTAATTGTGCTATTAAGTCAGCAAAGGCGTTCAACAATTATAGTGATAATCGTGCACATCACATTTGCAATTCACATGAGGATTGAATGTTCGCGCATTGACACGCCGGAACGACAAAAATCTGCCTAAAGATCCTTACGGACAAAATAAACTGTAACATACTATCGTTGTTGTACAGGGGCAACGTAAAACGCTGTATTCTTATCTTGTATTTTGTTTTGTTTTTCCCCTCGTAATGTCGTTATAGTTAAATACCTCGTAGTAATATGTGGATGGGAAGAATGAATGAAGAAAGTTCTCCGTCTGAATATACAATTATCACTCCATCTAGAAACCAATGTGTATACACCAGCTGCTACTGGTAAGTGTGAAGAAATAACACCAGTAGCTACATTTCTTATTAAATACACAGCATTTTTTTTCTCTGCAGTGAGGAGAATGTGTGGAAATTGTGCGAATATGTCAAGGATCAGGGGACGTGCTCTTTGGATGAGGTGTATGCAGTCTTTATATCTAACGAAAGAAAAATGGTGAGGCTTTTGTCTATACGCAAATATAATTTTTATATTTATATAATAACTATTTTTGTAGTGTACAGTTTTTTTATATATGAAATTTGCAGATACCCATTTGGAAACAAAAATCCAGTCGAGGTGATGAACCAGTATTCTGGGTAAGAATGTTTTTTAATAAGGAAAATAATTGATTTTTTACCTTGTACTAATGCAAGATTTCTGTGCACTTGCCTTTAGGATTACCATGTTATTCTTCTACACACAAATAAACAAGGACAGAGCTTTATATATGATCTAGACACCGTCCTTCCCTTCCCTTGTTTACTTGATGTATATTCGAAAGAGGCCTTTCATTCTGACGAGCATTTGAAACATGCTTTCTGGAGGTCAGCTATTAAGTATCTGATCTGAACTGCATTTCTCAAAACGTTTAAATACACTAACCTCAGTCTAATGCAGTCAACTATGATTGTCTACTGTGTTTTAGGAAACTTCGTGTAATATCAGGGGACACCTACTTGAAGAAGTTTGCTTCTGATCGTTCACATATGAAGGATTCTGACGGGAACTGGCGTATGCCACCTCCAGCATATCCTTGTTTAGAGACATCAGGTTTGTTTTAAAATTATTTGATGCAATATCATAATTTGGTTTCTTTTTCCTCTTACACAGTATATCATTTTCACAGACACTAAAATGAATCTTGATGACTTCATCTGCATGGATGCCCGTGTGGGATATGGAGAGGTTTACAACCTTTCAGACTTTGTTCAACGCTTTGGGACGAAGTAACAAGTTTTTTGCTTTATGCCAACACTTTTGTGTTGAAAAATGTACATAAACAGAGCCTCAGGGAAAGATCCCATTAGCATGGACAGTACTGTGACTAAGCAGGCCGCAAAATAGCCTACATATTTGTTGCCTGTCAAACTTTTTTTCATTTTATTTTTTACAAATAGAACAATTCAGATCCCACACCTTACATTGTAATTCATAATTACAGTCAGGTAATAAAATCCCAAAGGACAGTCATAATAAAATGAACGGGATGTAACATCAGTTGATCATTTTCATACTTTTATAAAGAAATCAGTTACACAGTTGTACAAATAATAAAAATGCAGCATTTAAACAAACAACCAAACCGAAATGGTAAACTGTCAGCAGTTGTAGTGCTGTAGTTTTTAAACAATTGCCGCCAGGTAATCCTTCACCTCAGCAGGTGACAGTCTGCGAAATCCTGCTTCATTACAGATGCCCACCTCAATATTTTCCTCTGTCATCTGTCCTTCAAAACTTTCCTGTAGGAAAAAGAAAACGCTGTATTATATTGTTGTTTTAAGCAATCTGATATAGGAAGTTAAAGGTAATGTTCTCCCAAAAAATTAAATTCTGTCATTAATTACTCACCCTCATGTCATCCAAACCAGTCAGACTTTCATCTTCACAACACAAATGAAAATCTTTTTGATGAAATCTGAGAGATTTCTGTCCCTCTATTGACAGCTACGCAACTACCCCTTTGACACTTCAAAAAGTTCATAAAGAGATCGTAAAATGAATCCATATCAACTGAGCTGTTTAGTCCAAATTTTCTGAAGAGTCTCAAGAGAGATTGAATTTAGGCTTTTATTCACATATGAACATTGATCAGCAAACATAAACAGAAGCTCAACTGAACCTGCTTGACACCTGAGAACAAACCTCATTGGTTCTTGCGGAGGCTCAAACGTGCTGCGTAACACATGAGAATGAACCTCATTGGTTCTCACATGTCAAGCGAACATGCTTGAGCTTCTGTTTACCACAACTGATGTGTGAGTTGAGACGATCGTGTCTCTTCAGAAAATTTGGACTAAACCGTTCAATTCATATGGATTAGTTTTACAATCTCTTTATGAACTTTTTGAAGCATCAATTTGGTAGTTACATAGCCGGACAGAAAGCTCTCAGATTTCATCAAAAAGATCTTAATTTGTGTAATACGAAGATGAACGAAAGTCTTGTTTGGAACGACATGAGGGTGAATAAATGATGACATAATTTAAATTTTTGGGTGATCTAACCCTTTAATAGTTATTTAGAGATGAATTCACCTTTAAAGTTAAGATGGCGGTGTGTATAGCATCTTCAAGTTCCAGATCTTCATTATATCTGTAACAAAATGATACAAAGCTATGCTGTCAAAAATGTGCAAAATCATTTTCCTATTTTTGTACCTTAAGAAAAATCGGTACATTACAATAATTCAACCCGCCAACATGTTGATGATTTTAATACCTTTTTTCAAGGAATGTTTTTCCATTCACATAGTTCTTTCCCATTGCTGTGGCTTTCCAGGCGAAGTATGCTCCCTGTGGGATATCACGATGGAGAGATGAGTTTATAAAATAAATGGTTGCATGTTAATATAATATGATGAAAAGAATAAACAAACAGTAATGATAATGTTTTGATTGCTATTTATTTGTTGTACCGATGGGTCTGACTGAAACAAGTATGGCCGGTCCTCGTCCCAACCGGCAATGAGAAGAGAGACTCCAAACGGGCGCACGCCTCTATAAAAAATGACACTTAAATTACTACAAGAGCTCTAATTCAAGTCTAGTATGATAATAAAAGATGTAAAGAAGTAACATACCCTGACTGTGTGTATTCTTGCATAACAGAAGCCACTCTCTGTACCAGCTGGCCTGTGGGGATTGGCTCTTGGTATACCAGGAAATACTGCTGAGCCAGCTTTCTTGCTCTTCTGACCAGCACCCTGTCAAGAGAGATCATTCCTTTCATCTTCAGCTGTTAATGTTCCAACTTAACACTCAAGAAGGGCTCATTTGAAAAGCTTTTCATTTTTAGAACAAAGCAACCATTCATTATAAATAATGCACTTTTTTAATACCTGTAGTCAGGACCCATTCCACTGTACACTATGCCGATGTGTTTGGTTATTGGTTCAACTTTGTGCACGCTCTGTTCATCGTACAATATGGACTTCTGTTTCTTCTCAGTTGCCAGCACAACTCCATTTGATGCTGCAAAAAATGACAAAAGGGCCTTCAAAGCAAATTTACACAATACGTATGGAGAAACATTATACTGTAAGAATGTAGCCTAGGTCTTAAACTGAATTTCAAACCCTTAATAAAGAACCTTATGTTCTTTATTAAGGGTTTGAAATTCAGTTTAAGACCTAGGCTACATTCTTACACGGCCAAATGAAAGTGGAAATCAAACAGGAAGTAGCAACTGATTTTATTAAAGTGCTGTGAGGTATATCCAAGTGAAATGGAATATTGAATAGAGGGCAGGGTTTTATTTTAGCACACCTCCTCTCCTGTTGGAGGGCAGAGGATAAGTGTTTTCAACCCAAGCCGTCAAACTGACATCATCGGAAAAGCAACGCCATCCAGACCGGAAGTAACTTTTCGGATTTTAATTAAAGATTTACCACGACAAACTTATTTTTTTTCTGTGTATTAACTTGCACAGATTAATTGTTCACCCTAAGACCAGTAATGTGTGCTAACAAAGTCAATAGGGTCAATTTTGATTACATTCTCCAAATTCAATGTAAAGAAATTAAAATATTAAAGCCAGAACAAAATCATGCCAGCTCTGACCCACCTCAGCTCCTAGTGTTAAAGTATACAGTTGTATTTGCTGTGTAAAGGCCTCCTATTTGCTGTGTAACTTTGGCAATAGACATTTTTTTTCCAGTTTCTGGTCTATATACAGTTTTAATGTAACTCTACGTTTAAATATAATGCAAGAAATGTAAGCATGTCATCATCATGATTTCATGAAGATGAGCTTTAAGAGGATCTGCGTTCGACTTAAATACTGGATTCAGCACTCAGTTTACACTCAGCAACTCAATGGATGGTTTGATTAGGTGGTGCAAAGATGTTCTTATTTGAACATGGTTTGTGAAGTTTGTGATGCACTGATCTACACAGACGTACCTTTGATTCCTACAGATGGAGCACCGGCTGCTACAGCGGACAGAGCATATTCAATCTGCACCAGTTTGCCAGAGGGGCTGTGTTGATAATAATAATAATAAAAAAGTACATGAGAGAAATGCCTCTGAAACGTATCTAAACTGAAACTGACTGCAAAAAACAACATTTTTGTTGACAAATACGTATCTATAACCAAGACTATAATCAATGTACTTCATGTTGATTCTGAACTCATGCTCTTTTTTTTTCAAATTCATAGATTATAAGATTAAAAATCTTCAAGTAACTTGAACATACTTTTTAAATTGCTTGTCAATGAATATAGTACACATCACAGAAGATTAACAGATAAACAAGATAATATTCTTAGCCAACAGAATGTGCAGTAAAACATAACAGTGTTAAAACACTAAACAAAGGAATAACAGTAGGCCTACAAGCCGACACTGAAAAATGAATAGAAGTCATAAAGTTTCATATAATAACTAACACCGTGACAGTGCAACTCCGATGTGACTTACGATTAAGTACATTTTAAACACATGTTGGAAAAAAACACAATTATTTCCTTTGAATGCATGCAAAAATATATGTATAATGAAAAATTATAGCCACATATCAATCTATAAATGACATTATTACCTAAATGTTGTGAGAGAAAAACTGTATCCTCGATCTGCCATTTTTGTCTTTTGCTACGGTCGGAAATACACCAAAACAACTTCCGCGAAATGTTTGAAAATACACTCGTCAAGATAAAAGTCAATTAAAACTAAATAAAAACCGACCACTAATTGTGTTTTACAGACAAATGTCGGTTCGTACGTTTCGGAGGAATAAAATCATGCTAAACATAAAACAAGACTATAGTTTTAGCACGAACACAAACTGTATTTAAAACCAACATTTGTCATATATTAAGATCTACACATTCTGCAAATATTCAGAAATGTGTACATATATATTGTAAAATGTCTTGTAAAAAAGATTTATATGGCGGTAATTCCCAAAGCATTATTTTAATTGAGTCTGTCCATTTCTAAATCACAAAATGTACTTTACTTAATTATACAGACGCAACTTTTTTATTTTATTTGATTTTATGTAAATAATATGTTGTTATTGCCTTTGTATGTTCATTGTTAAAAAGAGTTTGCAATAATAAAAAATAAAAAAAGTATTTCTATTTCACTAACATGCGTACAACCTGTTCGAAACATTTGAATCAGTGAATCGTTTTACGAATTAATTGATTATTTTGATTGGCAGAACCACACCGAGTGACACACAACACAACCACACAAGTGACAACATTTAGCCTCGCGCTGCTATTTTCGCTTGAAAATAACAACGAATACAACTCAGGCAAACAATAAATAAAAATAAAAAAAAGTACATAAAAAGTTCTTAGCCAACTCATACGTCTCTGGCCTGGGCCTGAGGATAATCTAGCTATTTAATTCCCGACAGTTTGAGTACTTTTATTATGTATGTGCTTCTGACGGAAGCTATTAAACGCGTCAGCAGTGGAGCTTGACTTCCTACCGTGTCTCAACGCCGAGGTATTGTCTTCAAATATTGATCAATCTGCCATATCTCATATTATAAGTCTCATTTTGTTGTTTTTACATATATTTGAGGTTTATGGTGATGTTATTTTTTATTCGATCGTTTTGTACATTGCAACTATGCGGCTTAGATCAGTTTTAAAGAAGGCGGATGAGCTAACGCAAGTTACACGCTAATGTGATCTTCGCAGTCTCTACTCTAATTTAGTTTTTTATTTTAAAACCAGCGTTATACTTCATGGGGAAAACATTACTCGTCATTTATACATTACTGAAGGATTAGTTTACATTGATTATTAATACGTATGGCGACATTTAAAATGTATGTTCTAATAAACTCATAAACCAGATTATCCTATATAACGTTAACTCACTGATGCAAATGTAATGTATGTGTTTTTAAGCATCTTTTAAAGGGAAAATTCGCCTACCAAATGAAAATGTTCTCATCGTTTGCTCAGCTAACTTGCATGTTGTTTCAAATCTGTAAGTTATGGCGTTCCTCAGTCTCATTCACCATTTACTTTCTTTGTATGGAGGGAAAGGTGTCTGATATGTCATCATTATATCTGTACTTGAGTGAGTACATTATACCTAATCTGTATGTTTTTCAGAGAAGGCCATGGCTCGAGGGCAGCAGAAGATCCAGTCTCAACAGAAGAACGCAAAGAAAGCAGCTGAGAAGAAGAAAGGTCAAGGAGCGGATCAGAAGACTGCAGCCAAAGCAGCACTGGTCCACACATGTCCTGTCTGCAGGGTGAGTGACTTGAGTTGTTACTTAAAAAGCAATATGTGTAAAGGGTCGCTGGTTTAAGCCACTGTACCCCAACCCGGCACATCCTTGCTGAGAAATGTGGTTATTATTCCCAATTGTATAGACACAGATGCCAGATCCCAAGACATTTAAACAGCATTTTGAAAGCAAGCACCCAAAGTCTCCTATGCCTCCTGAGCTGGCAGATGTTCAAGCTTAAAGGACACAAGAAACCGACATGAACCTAACAAAAAATGAGGTGAGTCTAATACAGATATTATTAGATTCATAAAAGCTGTATTGTACATTTAGACTAATTGAATCTGCTAATGTGGCTGAATTTTAATCTCATGATTATGGTTTAATTTTCAGACCCTGGGGAAAGAAACATGATTTGATTCTGCCGACTAACTCGACTTGCTGTATATCACAAACATGGACCATGTGGACAGAGAACTTAGGTTGTACTCAAGCACACCAGCACACTTTTTTTTCTTTTTCTTTTTTTAATTTTTTTTTTTTATATGTGCGTATTGCTTCCATCTCTTCAGAGTGTGCTGTGACCCAACAGTTTCATTGCCATGTGCTGTAACTTGTCATATTTATTCACCACTTTTCCAATGCCTTGTGGCGCTTGGTCCCTGTCTGACAAGTATGATTTTAAAATATCATTAGGTGCTTCAATCCATAAAAATGTATGTGCCCTGATATTTTAACTGTGAACCAAATTGGAGAGGTGCACCACTGTGTGTATTAATAGTATTGACCAGGATTTAGATTGAGATGCATTTATTGACATGCTTAAAATGATCACAAATGCGGTAAATTTGCACCTGTTCAAATAGTCAGAATAATGAGTCGGGACCCACGAACACTCTTTTGTTACTTTGTTTTCTAAAGTTTTCAATAAATGTATATGCATATAGTACATATGTGTGTCATGATTACTAGCAAGAACATCCAGAGGATAGATTTTGTGAATTTTTTTTTTAATTAATTTTTTTGGTGACTCAAAGTAGAACTTCGTGTTAAAATGACAACTGTTAAACAAGCTGTAATCATCATAATTTCAATTTATGTTCAGCTATCTTTAGCATCACTGTTCTTCACGTACTTTGAGCATCGATACAACAATGGTGTTAACCGCTGTACTGCCACCTATCAATGTGGATCAGCATGATCGTCTCAAGAGTTTTATGTAAATGACAAAGATAATAGGTCTATGCAATAATTATCTTGCCATTCCAAAAAAGATGCAACTTGGGCAGCACTACTTCTCCGTCATCACAATTGCGTTTATCTCGTAATTCTGACTTTACTCAGAATTGTACGTTAAGTCCAATTCTGAGGGGAAAAATACTTTTCTGAATTGCAAGTTTATATCTCACAATGCAACTCACAATTTCGTGTTATAGTCATAATTGTGATAAATGAACTTTATGCGCAATTCTGAGAAAAAAAGTTGCGAGATGTAAACTTGTAATTGCAAGGGGAAAAAGTCTTAATTATGAGATGAAGTCGCATTTACCTTTTTTATTCAGTGGCAGAAAAAAAGCTTCCTTAGAATCTCCCGTTGTTGTGTTCCCTTATCTTATTTTCAATATTCATATCACCAAACTGTATTACGTTACTAGCGTATCTCCAGAGACGACAGCCAATGAGCACGAGGATTCTGTCCGACATCATCTTCAACATGGCAAAAGGGGCGAAATACATTGAGGGGGTGACCCGTGCCATATATAATACACTTTATAGACCTTATTCACAGCGGCGCCATCTTTGATTTTAAACTGGAATGAAAGCGAGGCTGGGAGGGATAGATGCATCTGTTCAGTGGGTTGTAGGCCTACTGTTATTAAATGTATTTTTTGGACTGTTCTGCTGATAAAACACTGCAAAAATATCTTTCCAAGAAAATTCAGTAGACTAAAAACGCCAGACAACATGAGCTGTGGAAAATTATAAGTAATCTAGGAACTTTATACAGCTTTGACATCTGGTTTACATTTGGTTTAAGTTATTTTTTCCGTGGCTTTGTGAATCGTAACATGAAGTGCCAGGCTGTTTACTACATTCTACACATGAAAACTTGTACAGTTTAAGTGTAAGACAATCCAAAATATGTATTTTTTTAATTATGGGATGATTCCAACCTTAAATCCACTCACAATAAAAGTGTGGCAAATATGCTGATAAACCATCATGACACTTGAACTATCATTTGTCAATCATTTGGGACAGGTAAGAGCACTCAAATTTGGCTAAATAAATCTTTTAAACACTGTATATTACAAATGGTGCCTCAGAGTATTATAACAAATCTACATTTGTTTCAGATTTAAAACTTGAATGTACAATAGAAATACTGCGTACAGGAGGTTATAAGCAGCCACAGTTCTTGACCACCATGTTTCGATGTTTCTTGAGAATAACGTTGTTGTTGTCGTCGTAGAAGAGCACAGAGATGGGACTGAGTTTGGTTGGAGCGCAGCAGGCCTTGGGCACTTCATCTGGTCTGAGAAGGTGAACCTGCCGAAGGAGTCAGTACAGTTGAGAGAGGCATATACAGGGTTGCCAGGGCCTTGCATCAAAAGTATGGCCCAAAAATACTTGAATTAACCCGCGGCAACAACTTAAAGTAGCCCAATTTCACAAGAAAACTGCAGACTTGGCAACACATATTCAACCAGCTAGGAAAGTATATATAAATAAAGAATAAGTTCATTTTCAATGGGTCTCCTAGCGTTGAAGTGAAATATTAAAAGTACAGATTACGCACCAGAAGCTGGATCGTGGCATGGTTTGTGGCATTCATACAAGAGCCCAGAGGATAATCACATTCCCCATCACAGTAATACGCAGAGTAACCGGTAGGGGCCAAAACCCAGTCCTGAAAAATAGTATTAAATAAATTATAAACACTCCAGGGACTTCACTTTGTATTACTCCGCTTTATCCCGAACTGTCAGTCTGTACATTAATGGTGTGGATTTCTCAGTGACTCTTTCTACAGGTTACATCAATAAGCCAATAGCTGGCAACAAGTGACTGTCTCCATGAGTGAGCCATTGAATCATTCAAATCACTGAATGCAAGCTTTAACTCTGCTTTTACTTGTTTAGAACTATACCCATTGGCCAAATCAACGTTCAGTACTGTGTGTAACCTGTGACTCAAAATTAACTTTTTGTATATTGTATGTTGTAAGAATGTTGTATAACTGTATAAAAGTCAGGCAGTCTCACCTTCCAGCCAAGGTCGCTGAAGCTGACATAGAGTTCATGTTTCTTACAGGCCTGGCGTCCACTGCTGGCATGATTTTGGTCTGGAAAAAGTGAGACGATCACAGCTCAAAGACAAATCATTTCATATACTTCCTAAAACACAATCTGCCTCTTAAACCGCTTATTGTGGCTCACCATATATGCCGGGTCTGTTTGGGTGTGGCAGGTCGTACTTTGGTTTTTTCTTGCGTGGATTGTTGTGTCTCACAGCTCGAGGTGGGCGGCAAGGGGCTTGACTAGCTCTGAAGAACGTCACCATGAAAGGCTGTTTGGAGCGCGGCCCGCGCCGACCCACCAGACCCACCCATGCGGCTGACAGCGACCGGTCTGAAACAAGATATCAGCATTTGGCCAATGGCACAGAGACCATCTTTTTCTTTTTCTTTTTTTATAAAGCATTGCCAAGATACAGTCTGACTTTAACATTTCATGTTAGAGCAGAATTCTTGCAAATATCCAAAACTCCTTCAATAATATTTGGTCTGATGATAAATCTGACAGTAGCAAGAAAACATTTAACAATATATGTATTATTTCAAACTATTGCGATTGTGGAGACTGAAACTCAGTGAAATCAAGTTGAGGGACCAAAGGGAGAAGAACATTTATATATATATATATAAAGTGATATATCTGAAATGAGGAGGCAAAGTCCTCCCAGTTTGTTTATATACACTACTGTGCAAAAGTCTTAGGCACGTTAGTATTTTTACCTCCCAAAAAAGGGTTTTAAGCCAGTTATTTACACTCACCTAAAGGATTATTAGGAACACCATACTAATACTGTGTTTGACCCCCTTTCGCCTTAAGAACTGCCTTAATTCTATGTGACATTGATTCAACAAGGTGCTGAAAGCATTCTTTAGAAATGTTGGCCCATATTGATAGGATAGCATCTTGCAGTTGATGGAGATTTGTGGGATGCACATCCAGGGCACGAAGCTCCCGTTCCACCACATCCCAAAGATGCTCTATTGGGTTGAGATCTGGTGACTGTGGGGACCATTTTAGTATAGTGAACTCATTGTCATGTTCAAGAAACCAATTTGAAATGATTCGAGCTTTGTGACATGGTGCATTATCCTGCTGGAAGTAGCCATCAGAGGATGGTACATGGTGGCCATAAAGGGATGGACATGGTCAGAAACAATGCTCAGGTAGGCCGTGGCATTTAAACGATGCCCAATTGGCACTAAGCGGCCTAAAGTGTGCCAAGAAAACATCCCCCACACCATTACACCACCACCACCAGCCTGCACAGTGGTAACAAGGCATGATGGATCAATGTTCTCATTCTATTTACACCAAATTCTGACTCTACCATCTGAATGTCTCAACAGAAATCGAGACTCATTAGACCAGGCAACATTTTTCCAGTCTTCAACTGTCCAATTTTGGTGAGCTCTTGCAAATTGTAGCCTCTTTTTCCTATTTGTAGTGGAGATGAGTGGTACCCGGTGAGGTCTTCTGCTGTTGTAGCCCATCCGCCTCAAGGTTGTGCGTGTTGTTGCTTCACAAATGCTTTGCTGCATACCTCGGTTGTAATGAGTGATTATTTCAGTCAAAGTTGCTCTTGTATCAGCTTGAATCAGTCGGCCCATTCTCCTCTGACCTCTAGCATCAACAAGGCATTTTCGCCCACAGGACTGCCGCATACTGGATGTTTTTCCCTTTTCACACCATTCATTGTAAACCCTAGAAATGGTTGTGCGTGAAAATCCCAGTAACTGAGCAGATTGTGAAATACTCAGACCGGCCCGTCTGGCACCAACAACCATGCCACACTCAAAATTGCTTAAATCACCTTTCTTTCCCATTCTGACATTCAGTTTGGAGTTCAGGAGATTGTCTTGACCAGGACCACACCACTAAATGTATTGAAGCAACTGCCATGTGATTGGTTGATTAGATAATTGCATTAATGAAAAATTTAACAGGCGTTCCTAATAATCCTTTAGGTGAGTGTATATCTTTTGCTGTAGTGTGTCTTTAGGAAATATCAGTTTACATTTCAAAACATTCCATTTGCCATTAATTGTCATAATCCAGAGAGATTATAAAGAGAGAGAGAAATAAATCTAATATAAATTCATGTCCCAGTTACACTTAATGTTGTCACATTATCCTGGTTAAATAAACATTACATTACGTACAATTTTTTTTTTTTTTTTTATATATTAACGTAATTAATGTTCTATTTATTAAAACCAAGTATAAATCTCAAGTTTATAAATGTGTTTTTAAGCATTTTACATTTATTCCAAAATAATAACTAAAGGCAGTAATACTTTAAACAATACATTTTATTTGTGAACTGATGTTCAGCTGTTTTTTTTTAATGGTCAACTTATTTTCGGATCATCAGTCATCAAGCTCAGTAAGATGAACCTTTAATTTCACCAATCTGAAAACCCCAACAGTTACCATGTTTTCAGGCCATTTCAACTTTGATTTTGACACAATCGGTGACATCTAATTGGGGGAGTTGTTTACTTTTTATTTAGTCGTCCTTTTATGTTGTTCATTCAGACTGATTTGCAAACGTGGAACAGGCACGAAAACAAGAGGCGGGATTATCACACAAAACCATCATATCCAATCATCGCCTATTCACGTGACATTTCCCCATTCATATTAATTTACCCACCGCATGCTTTAGGGGGTCTGTTAAAACTCAATGGGCTCAGGGGAGGCAAGAGAGACGGGGCGTCCCACTGTAACTTTACCTGCTGGTATCGCTGTTAAACAGTGTTACTTTAGAAAAACGAGTGATTTATACACTTTTTAATGTCACATTTTGTAATATTTGCATTGTTTTATATTTGCAATATGGATTTTTTTCTCATCCAATTTTTTTGAGGAGGCACTGCCTTTCTTGCCTCCTCGGATATACATATTGCTTGTTAAAATAAATGATTTTTGCAATGTTACGTGATTTGACTGGGAAACCCCAAAATGGGTTAGGAGACAATTCAGACCCTTCCTAACTTTCCACTTTACAGTTCTATGGGGTGCCATACATACACTCTTATGAAGTACAAATGATGCGAACAAAAACATGGGATTTCAGAAGTCTAGGAAGCAACATCCAGTCAGTTGTAACTTGTTAGACTATCGGAGCGGACTGACACTATGTATTCCGCCTCTGTACATAAGGAATAGCTCACCCTCCTCAGTTTCCACGTAAAGGCGGATGCCCAGGTTGCACCGAGGATGGAGAAGCCAGCGATTGCTCGCAGAAGTCACATCAAATGCCAACCAGCCCTCCTGACCCGCAGGCACAGACTGCATGTCCAGCAACACCAGCTCAGGCTCCCTGTCAAACCACAAGATCAAAATGTCATTCCCATTATAATGACCGATGCAGGATCTCACTGATGAATGCACAAAGAGTATCCTAAACACTAAAATCAAATGCTATCTAGTTTAATACTCAATATTGTATCAAATGTCTTATATGTGTACTGGCCTGTGTCTTTTCTCCCTCTGGATTTCATAGACAGAGATATGAAGGGTGCGGTTTGCACGCCAACCCATGGTAAGAGTTTTATAGATACGAAACTCAGCAGCGGTGACAGTCTCTCCCTGAGGAAGAGGAGTGAGATCGAAGCGGAACTCCTTCCAGTACGGCCGAGGCTGGAGCAGATCCTTCTCCTGCTCCACTGCGTTCACAAAGACAGAGAGGGAGTTAAACACAACCAGAGGAGCTGAGTGTGAAGACACTTGAGATGAAGACGATGGAGGGGTGATTGGCAGGAGAAGATGGGGAACAGAAAAGGGAAGATTAGTTCTGGTTCTGACTGACACCCACGGCCCGGGCTCTGCACTGGAGTAATTACAGGAGTTGTGGAACAGCAGTCGCTCAGAGCACCACCACTAATTACAGTCCAGCGCTCTATTTTTAGAGGAGTGCCCAACAGTATTTTCATCCACTTCATCTCATCTTTTTTTCTGCCTTTCAGTGGGGCCTGTAATTCCCCACAGCTGTGTGCCCACTACAACATCTCTGGTTCCATGAAGAACTTTTAACCTCCACAGAACCTTTCCAGTGCACGAAAGGTTCTTTATAGTGGGACATGTTTCTTTTAAGAACCTCACTGAAAGGAGAACCTAAAACGGTCTACAAAACCCCTCTTTTGGAACCTTGCCTGATCGCTTCGAAAAGCAATTCTAGACCTCTCATCAAAAAGCCACATGATTTGAGGCATCATTCATGTTTGTAGCACAAACAGTTATCCAGCGAAGTTTCAAACGGGTTTGTTTAAATCACTAACCACGTGAAGAATGAGCGATTATAATAGTGACGCTTGTCTAAGCGAACACCACTAGTTAAATTTGAGAAAGGGGTGACACTGACCAATGATAATGGGGGAGAAAGATATGCAGTAATTGTAAATAGGATGTTAAACTGTTGTTTGTTCGGACAGATAAGTATCGTCTGTGTTTGGGCTGAGACAGGAAGAGATGATGGAGTGATTGTGGGTCTGTCTCATTGTCAATACAAGCTCTCAAAATCACTGGCAAATCTCACTGTATGAATAACTATCTGGATTCTAATATTGTATGTTTGTTCTATAAAACAATATTATTTACAAAATATTAGGAAACCAATCACTGAAACCAGACTTAAAATGTGCCATTGTATTAGTTAAAATATCAAACCAAATGGCATCTGCAAACAAAATATGCTAGACTTGTTCTAGACTTGTTTAAGCTATTTCTGTAATGAGTTTTAAGTTTTGATATATAAATAATAATAATAAATAATTTCCTGTAATTGTGACTATATCTGCCAGAGTGACTTTGTTTATTATTTAAACTTTATTTCACAATTAGGGCCTACCCTTTTAAACATTTTGTTTTATGGCAGAAATGGTTATTTGTAACTAAAACTAAATCTATTCAAATTAGTTTTTTTCTTACTTAAAATAAAGCTGAAATAAAATAAATATTAGATGAAAAACTTGAAAATGAAAAATAAATGGAAATTAGAAATGTTGCACTTGCAACTGACTGAAAAAAGTAGTAAAATCACAAAAAAAAAAACAAAAAAAAAACTGAAACAAACAAATTAAAGCTGAATCGACATATAAAAAAACTCCAGAAACTAATAAAAAATAACAAAAGCACATAAAAAATGGCTAAACCTTATACTAAAATTTAAATAAAAATGTGAATAACAGCTACAGTAGTATAAAAATGAAACAACACTGTTATTAACATGTTCCAGTTCAGTTTGAGTTTGACAACCAGAGTGTCCAAAAATACTTTTTTTTGTACAAGTATTTGTTTTATAATTTGAAACCCAACAAACTTGCCATTGTAAAATACTTTGCGTTGTCGTTCTTTTAAGTAAACATTAAATTAACATGACATATTTTAAAGTGTGATTTATGTCCATACATAACCCTAACCAGCTGTCACTTACCCAGGTTGACAAAGCTCATGACCGTGTCCGCCTCACTGACCACCGTGCCGAGGGGCGGTGTGTGTGTGCTTAAGGTGGGCAGCGCGGCATGACTGACCACTTCCGGAGTGAAGCCCAATCCCGGTCCATCATCGGCCTCGGACGACACGGCGTGGTAAAGGTCCAGCATGAAGAGCGGGGCGGAGGAAGGGGGCCGCAGTGGCGGGTGAGGTCTGGGCCGTCCTGGTAGACCCAGAATGGATAAAATCTCCTTCTGCATCTCCTTCTTTTCCCGACCGCTGAGCCTGCGGAAGCTGGAATGAACCACTCCTTCCACCTGACCCCAAACACACAGCAACATGCACAGAGGGAGGAAGATGGCCAGAGGGAACAGTCGGGTTCTCCCGCTCTCCTTCCTCCCTCTGCTGCGGCGTGAGGACACAAACTCAACCACACGCTCTTGTTTGTCCATTGGTGTGGCAGAGGAGCTCTGCTCCATTGCAGCCGTCTATCTAGATTATCCTGGTATTTGTCCCTCCAAAACCTCTGGGTGTATACCCGACGTCGGTCTTCTCTGGAATGGTCTGACTACCGTCTTGAAATTCAACTCTGAACAACACTCAAACGCCTGAGCCACTCAGATTCCACAGCAGTCATCGTTATTTGGAAGAGTGCAATGTTTACTGCTACGAGCTGCTCAGTTTATCGACTCCTGACAGTCGTTCCTCATGCTGTCACTTTATTTACCAAACCACAGGGCTTCTCTCATAATCTATAGTGTGCTTACGGAGCTGGACGGCAAACAATGTCCTAGAAACTGGAAGAGAAAACAAACACGTCTTACTAGAAGCCCAACTCCTTTCAAAGGTGATCTCGAAGTTGGAAGGACTAAGCACAATGTGGAATTAAAGTCTTTGGGTAGAACTAAAAACAGAGGGCCGCTTCAAAGGTTCCTGGATCAAACACAACACCTGCTCCTTTTGAGGAGATGTGAGACGCTACTCCAAGCTGATGAAATTATTTGAACAACAAAAAGTTAGAAAACTCTCTTGCGGTAATCAATCAATGTTGGATTTAAACGTTTAATCCAGTGTGCGGAAATATCCAAGACTCCTGAAAAAATGTAAGAAAAAGAATCCACAATTTTGAGCAAGTTGTTGATCAGAATAGTGTTACAGTCCCCAAACGTTTTTTTTTTCTGGATTTTGAAGTTGTGAGATCCCAGTGGACTGTGGTATTCTTAGCCTGCGTGCTGCTTGCGCTGAAGGCACAATCTGAACATGGGTGTCCTTCTTCCCTCCCAACATACACACTTACGCAGAGGGAGTGTTTCCAACGTCTGAATCCTCCTCCCTCTCTTCCTTCTCACCTCAGCCTCCATCTACCCTATCAAACCGTCCCATCTTCTACACATACCTCACAAATTGCTGGCAATTATCATGTGGTTTGGGGATGAAGATGTGATCCAGCCTTTGCACAGACTAGAACTGAGTTCTTATGGCTAGGGTAATATGAAAACTATATTTATATTCTGTGGTTTCAACAGTAGCCAAGAAGTGACAGATCACTGCCGTTTCACTGAAGATATAAGATGGCAGTTTTGAAAAAAACTTGGTTTTCAAACTAAAGTGTCCATGCAGACAGGTAGTTGAAATATGAACCAGTGATAGAAAGGGTCTGTAGTTCACCTAAAACCATTTCAAACCTTTTTCTTATTTAAATACATAGTTTATAAACTATTTTTTGAAAAACTATATTACTCAAAAATGACATGACAGGGCTATTTAAGTGAACTGCAAAAAAACAGTTCGGATTACCGCACTTCTGCAACCTTGATATGCAATTACTTTAGTTTATAGTCACTATATATTTATATAAATAGAAATGAATCACGTATGAAACGTGTATATGCACACACAAAACGAATATATATTAATCATGTTTTTACCTAACAATGTTGCAATTTGTTGGAGGTGGCCATTGACATGCCATTTGTCAACTACGCAAACAGACCCATATAAATCGAGACTTTAATACATGTTTTTAATGGGAAAAACAGTTGTTTGATAAAAGCACTCATGTGGTCAGTTGATTCTGAAAATGAAATGACACTGCAGGGTTGTGAGATGCCATGAGAGCTTGGCTCTGCGGTGTGGATGGTGTTTGGTGGGAAAGGATGTGAGTGGGTTTAAATATTTGTATATAAACACAGACTCACAGCTGCAGAATGAAGATGATGGAACACCACCCTTCCCAAACCCCATCCGCTGCATCTGACCACCAAACATACACAGAGTCCAGTGCAAACACACACTACTTATGTGTGACCAACACACACGGCTCAAACAAAGGTGCTTCTATTCGCTCGTGGGGCCATTTTTGAACTCCAAAATGACTGTAAATCTTATATAAAAGAGCAGTGTTCAAAACTGCACACACACCAAAGGCTTGTCCCTTTTTGAAGATTTAATGGGGTGTGTCATTATCTCTACTGCTTGTAATTACTGTGCCATTTCCTGTTAACTGTGGCATCCCTGCACGCTCACACACACACATGCCACTTAACAACACGAGAATCAGACAGTTGTACTGCAAGCATTGTTTTAATACAAAAGAGAACAAAAAGGATTTATAATCATAGCTTCTTTACTTATACACAATTGCACCCCTGTTTCTCTCAGTCATGTCAAAAGAGTAACACAATCAAAAGGTGGATCCTTTCATAGCCCTCACCCCCCTCCAAATGACACAATAAATAAATAAAAATCACCTTTCTTCAGGTATTCATATACTTCAGCTTGTCAAAGACAAGATTCAAAGCGCTGTTTTTAACGGGGGCTGCGCGAGCCGCCCCCATCATCCATTATTTAGGACGCTTCCTTCACGAAAGAACGAGTAGGAAGCCACTTTTGACGTCATCTAAAGTGTGTAGTCACCGGCAAAAAGGCCACCATTGGAATCAGTAAGCTTCCTGGTCAGTTAACATCAGAAATGATCAGTCAAAGCAATTCATTACGTCAGGAGCGGATGTACAAAAACAAAGAGAAGAGTGATTCCGCTTGTGTTAATACTAGTCATTCTCAAGAGTTGATATGATACTGCAATCACAAATAAATACAGCTCTTTACTCTAGAAAACAAACAAAACGTCAAGATTATAAATTAACCATGAAACAAACATTCACAATTGTAATCATTTTTGCATACTGTGGAAAAGCTCTGTAACATGATGTCTGTAACAAAAGGACACGACTAGACTGCGAAGAAGACTGTGGGTGCGAGTGCATGAAACTCGTGTGCTGTGTGCAATAGGGGCTCCTTTAAAAGGATCGCGTGTGACGTGAAGGATCTAGTCTTCTCGTCACAAGGCTGAGATATGTGTCGTCCTCCACTTCCTCTCCTTATTACTGCGTTAATTTACCATGACAGGAACTACCACACACATACACACACACACACACACACACACACACACACACACAAGAGTCCAAAAAGTCCAAGTGCCGAGGAGGAAAAGGTCTCAGTTTTTAATTGACTTCCTCTTGTTAGCAGTGGTACAGACACCTGTGGGCGAGAGGCCAGCTGGTCTGTATACATCTGGAGAGGGCGAGTGTGTCCAACCAAACATCTCCAAAGTGACAACCATGCATGTCTGATGAGGTTTGGAGAGTGACGGGCGGTTGCATATTCATAGTGATGAATAGTGGAAACCCCTGATGCAGAATTGATGTCCCTCTGTGTATATCTGCTCACACAGGATGCTCTCCATCGCACATTCAAGAAAACGAATGTCGGTTAAATTAAGGACATGATGTAGAACACAAATAAGGCAGCATTATGGTAGGTATTAATCTGGGTGGTGTAGCAGTGTGCGGGCGCTGGAGAGGTGAGAGTCCGGTGTTGTGTTCTCCTCCTGCTGGTTAAATCAGAACCACCTTCAGAGTCAGTCACAGACTTCATTTCTTGCCCGCTGGTGTTTTGGGGCTAGGGGTCTTCTTGGAGATGGTGGGGATTTTGGAGGGTTTGGCCCCAGGCCGGCGAGGGGTGTCTGAGGTATCGGAGCAAGCCGAGTGGGTCTCCATGAGCTCAGACGTGTCTGAAGCGTCGCTGCCTCTTCGGCTGCTGGCTCGGCTCCCGGCGCGGCTCCCTGCGCGACTGGCTGGGCCGCTCGTCGAGGACGGAGTGCGTTTGGTGTCTGATGAAAGAAGACGATTGAAGTTTAAGGGTACAGTAATATAGTACATAAGGATGTATTACAAATATAAAGGAGAGTCGCATAAAAACAATAATGTAATATTAGTAGTGTTGGGAGTATCTACTAAACCCATCTAAAAATAGCAACGCTACTAACTAACCAGTAATTGGCTAGTTTATCCAACACAGAGGTGAATGTAATATACTGTATGTGTTGTGCACAAAAACAAGCAAGAAACATTATAAAACGTAATTTATTAATTTTGGAAAATTGGTTGGTTTTGATGCTTCAATTAAGTTTTTTTTTTCTTTTTCATATTGATATATTGAAATGCTGCTTTTCATCACAATATTTTGACTAATTTACACTCTTCTGTGGTTTCTAGGTTCGGAATTTAATATCTTGGACAAAAATAATGTAAAAGTATGCCATTGGACAGTTACACATTTATAATAGTGTGCTGCACGATTGAGTGTTTTTTTTTTTGTATGGGTTTTTGGTTAAATGACTGAAGTAAAGTTTGTGGTGAACACAAGCTCAAGATATTTTCACGTTTTATTCTGTGACATAAAATACACCAGTAATATCCCACTCATGATTTTTTTAAGCTTTTATGTGACTTAAAAAAGGTGGCTGCAAACAAGTGGCTAAATAGGACTACAAAGATTTTCTGGGACATTAAATGTCATCACGCTGAAGAGGTAAACTCATCTACTCACTCGTTTAATCTTTACAGCGTTGTGCTTATACTCGCGCTCTTGCAAACTATTCTAACTCAGTTTCCAACTTGTAGATCTTAAATAAAGATTTTTCCGAAGCTTAGTGATGGTGATGTTGAAGTCATGTGACCATAGTGCAGTTTGTTTATAGCCTACATTTAGATTTTTGCTTCTGTTGATTGTATTTAGGCTTCAAAATTCATAAAAGTTGTGTTGTGTTGTGTTAATTAGTGAAAATTGTACTGAACAAAACGTGTAAGAATCATAAAATGTTGTTGGCTGAAGCACTAACATATAATATATTGCCCACTAAATAGCTTCAGTATAGTAGTACTTGTTATTAGCTACATTTTCCTGAAGGGTCTGTTTGAACCAACACTGGATATTAGATCGATTTAAAAGTCCCCTTTAACTACTGTGCTGCAGTTGTGAGAGAGTGAAGCGGTACAGGGTTTCGTACCGGAGCGTCCAGGTTTAGCAGCGGTTGGTGTTCCACCGTTCTCACCAGTTAAGGAGCCACGGCTGGAATGGAAAGTTGGTCTCTTCAGTTTAGTTGTGGAGCCTCCCTGTAAAGAGAGAAGGTTTATTACAAAATGGCAGATCTACCTGTGTATCTACAGATAATAAGCCTAACAGATAAGTCTGGGAAAATTTGATTAAAAATAACTGGACCACGCTCTACCATGACATGGATGAATCTGTCGATTGTCATAACATAAGATGGCTTAACAGAATAATTCCTAAGTAATGTTTATGCAAATTAATTGATTGCATCTTTTCCTCAAGACAAACTATGTTTTCTGCCTGATATTGTACTGGAGATTACACAGCATAAGGTCACAGATTTTCTGCACTGTTCTCTGGGTCATCGACCTCAGTTGCTTCCCATGTGTTAAGATCAGGCCGCTCTTAAAGCTTTTATTGTTAGTGTGCTAGGGCACTGGGAGGGGGCAGTGTGTTACCTCATGCCCAGGGGTCTGGCTGTGCTCTGGGCAGGACTGGCACTTGGTTGGAGTTGGAGTTTTACTGTGTGCCAGCCAGGGCTTGGCATAGTCACGAGATTGGGATTGGGAGGACTGGGAAATGCGGCAGCAAAAAGGACAAGGAATAGCGGAGTAGCAAAAAAAAAAAAAAAAAGCAGTGGGAAGAAGCCAGGATAATCGGAAAAAGAGTAAAGTAGAGGGAGGCGATGCAGCACAGCAGAGCGTAGTGTTTTTGTAGGTGGAGATGAGCGCAAACAGGGAGGAAGGCACATTTTCCAAGCAAGGGAGGGGAGAGGGACAAAAAGACAAAGAACAAATAAAAATTTCACAGATGACAATATGATTCTGACATGCAGAGACAATAGTGATCTTGTCCTGACCCCGAAACAACAATCAGACACAAAGAGAAACCATCCACCAAAAAGACTAGCGAAAGATTGATACGTCGGCCTTGCCAAGTAATTGCATAAAGTTTATATATATATATATATATATATATATATATATATATTTTTTATAACAATACCATTAAAAAGTTTGGGCTCAGATTTGTTACGATTTTTCAAAGAAGTCTATTATGCTCATCAAGGCTGCATTTATTTGTTCAAAATACATTAAAACAGCAATTATGTTAAATATCATTGCAATAAAAAAAAAGCAAAGCTGAATTTTCAGCAACATTACTCAGCATCAATCTTCAGTGTTACATGATCCTTTTATCATTTTAATATGCTGACTTGATGCTCAAGAAACATTTCTTATTATTATTAATGTTGAAAACATAATTTATTTATAACTTATAAAAGCTCTATACTAAATCTGAGAATATTTTCTAAGATCTATCTTTTCAGTCTTTAAAATTTAGTTGAAAACATAAAACACAAGCAATCACACACATTCAAACCATGATTAACAGACTATGATTATTAATCAGAAATGAAGGATGATGTTATGTTAAGAGACAAAGGACATTATTACCAAACCTTATTTCCAACTTCGTTTTACTTTTAAGATAATAACAAAAAAGAACTTTGTATATGGGGCCTTGAATCATGTTCAGTCTCTTGTATTTTACGCGTGCGAGCACAAGCAATAAGTTGCTGGCTGCAGTTCACTTAACGACTACTGGTGTAGCTGATAACAAGGGTTTCCGATTTTTACATCTAAAGGTTTTATCTCTTGTTTTTGTAAAATGCTAAACATCATTACAGATTCTGCAAATGGTGTCTAAACAAATGCTTGTAAACAAGCACAACTGTATATCTAGATAAATTGTGACTAAATTTACACTACAGTTTAAAAGTTTGGGGTTGGTAAGATTTCCACTGTTTTTAAAAAATCGCTTATACTCAGCAAGGTTGCATTTATTTGACCAAATTTACAGTAAAAACTGTAATAATTAAATATTTAACATTAAATGACACTATTTCAATGCATTTTGAAAATGTAATTTATTCAAAGCTGAATTTTTGCAAGTATTTAATGTCACTTTTGATCAATTTAATGCATCCTTGCTGAAAAAACTATTAATTTTGTAAAAAAAAAAAAACGTAATGACCCCAAACTTTTGAACAGTAGTGTATGATACAACAAGAACATTTTTTGAGACTGAGGTTACCCTCTAATTTCTGATGAAGACATTAGTATACAAGACACAACAAACAGTAAGTATGGGTTATTATAAGCCTATGCAGTGTTATATGGTGACTCTCACCCTTGAGGATGCTGTGGGAGTTGCGGGTGCAGAGGGCAGAGAGGCGCAGCTGTGGGCACTGTGCGACGCCGACGAAGACGAGCGGGTGGGTGAGGCCGTGCGCGACGAAGGTTTGGATCGACGCCCCCGGGACCGGAAGGCCGCCAGACCCTGCGTAGCTCCCTCTGGAAGAATGAACTTCTCTCGAAGCTCCAGGTTGGTGCGTCCACGAGCTGCAGTAAATGAAAGGAGGAGAAAGAAAGCTGTAAGGCACGATGGTCAGGTGGTGAGCAGTGCGAGTGGGGAGACTCAACACTTCCTCTGGCCACTGCTTTGACTCAATGCAGACAGAGGGATCGGTATACCCACTTAAAAAGCGGTCAGTGCACGTGGTGGACACGATGCAGGGGGTTAACGGTGAGTCATTGAGCAAGCATCCTCAAAACAAGAACAATAAAAAAAAAAAAAGCACAGCTTCCTTCAGCCCACCACGTAAACCAGTGCACACGCATAAACAGCGTCGACAGATACCTGAGGGTCATGCCTGATAATGCTTTTAGCAAACACTGAAAACCAACACAAGTCTTCACAGAACATTCTTAATAACAGATACAAAACGCAGCAGCCCTTGCAAAACACACAGACCAGGGCAGCCAGAGAGAGAGAGAGAGAGAGGGCTGTGCAATGGCAGCAGTAGCTGTGGTCAGAATTTGTCTGTTATTCCTTCAAGACATCAGTGTTGAGGAGTAACTAACTAAATTCACAGACAATTCATTTTCAGTAGCGTTATAGTGGAACATAACACGTAGCCTTACAGACAAGCAAAATGAGACAATCAAACACACTCTCTTAAACTATCCCCTTTCTCTGAAGTAGCATTGGGAAGTGGGATTCGTTTTGTTTGGATAATTCATTGTGCAAAGTCCCTATTAAAAAAATTAAACTATTAAAAAATGATTTTCATTCATTGAAATAAAGCTGAAATGAATTAAAATATAAATATTAGAAAGTAAAATAATAAGCAAAATTTTTAAATTAAAAAAAAAAAAGAAAAAAAAAAAGATCATTCAAAAAATAAAAAAATACTATGATAGTATATATTATTATGAACAAATGTATCTGCTGCTTTATTATCTAATACATTTATTTTTTGTGATATATTTTGCTTGAAAAGTAAGCTTGTGCTATCTTTCTTAAAATAAATGCCACTTGCTTTGACATTGTCATACAAAGCAAAGAAACCGAAACATTTTTAAGTGAGGCTGATGTGTACAAAAACCATTTAGGGTCACTGTGGTTATTTAACAAGATCCTGCCCTTCTCAATAGTTTCGGTGTTTTTAGATACTTTTTGTTGTTATTTTGTAGTTTTTTACAAGTGCAGCTTGACTGTAGTTCAACTCCTTTCAATTTTAAGTAGCTTTTAGCTTGGCAAGCTACTGTTTCAAAGTAGCTTCCCCAACACTGCATGACACTCACTTTTCCATCAAACCCAGTAAGAGCAGAGCAGTTGATAACTACCACACCATATAATTTCCTCCCCTCAAAGCAGGTGGGGCCTGTAATCCATTTCTCCATGAGTAATTGCTCTTTAAGAGTTGCTTCAAACAATATTAGAAACCCCAAGCCTGGCCACACCCTGGTTCTGGATGCTTTTTCATTTGCAATATTCATCCAGGACACACATGAAAGGAATCGAGCCCAGGCCTGGCCAAGCCTGGTTTGAATGGTTAGCATGATGCTAGCGGACACATAGACCTCACATAGTCCTTAAGCTCTCGCACACGCCACACATACTAAGACACAGCAGTGATGGGATGGATCCGAAGCTGGACGAAAAGGTTTAGAGGCTCAGAATGGAATAGACAGACAGATGTAGTCAAACAGGAAAGGAGTTAAGAGGTGAGAAAGGAGAGAGAATGAGGTACCTCTGCAGCAGAAATAGCCAGGAGTAACCGTCACTGAGAGACACAAGAGACAACATGAAAAACACGCATTCACACAGAAAGAGTCATACACACACTCACGTTCTGTTGAAAGGGATAGTTCACTCAAAAACCAAAATTCATCATTTACTTTACTCACCTTCAAGTCGTACCAAACATGTACGATTTTCCAAAAGGAGATATTTAGCAGAAGACAATCACCTCAAATTGGTTTGTGTCTAACATTATTTACATTAAACCTAGCGTTTCTTCCAGTCCCCATTTACTTGGAAAAGAGCAGCATAAACATTATTCAAAATATCTTCTTTTATGTTCTACAAAAAAAAGTAATACGTGTTCAGAACGACATGAGAATTAAAATTTTTGGGTGAACTTGTCCGTTAAGACCTCTTGCTTTGCAACAAAAGGGAATAAACTGTCTACAAACACAATTTTTGGAATATAAATACTGTATGCGTTAAGTAGTATTTTAAATCAAAATGCAGGAAGTGATGTAAATGGCTGAGCCAGAAATCTCAAAGCACAATTGGTTCGTAATGAGCTCCAGGCGTGAGGGTTAGATCAGTGTCACGGTCAGCAAAGCACAGCAAAGCAACAAAGAACCAAACAAAGTGTGAGTGAAACAGAGGCAAAGAGAGGGGAAACCAAACGAGTGAAAAAGAAGAAAATCCGAACGAGAAGGAGAGAGAAAACCCAACCTATGCGAGATGATATGGAGCTGCTGGAGTCAGAACGCAGGATTTTTAGCCCTGGATGTTGCACTGGGGAGAGAGAACGAGAGATAGGGGACGGGGCAGAGAAAGAGGGAGGGAGAGACCTAAGGAACATGCACCATGCACTACAATTGTATCAAATAAAAATAGGAGGATGACAGGGAGAAAGAGAGAAAGAATGGGCCAAATGTGTAGGCCATGCATATAAAAATAACCACCGTGGAAAAGAGGTCAGGAAGTAATGGGGAAGTGATGGAAGATGAGATGAAAGTGAACTCAGATAGTACTGAAAAGATGAGAAACTCATTGAAGAGAATAAATACAAGAGTGAAAGATGATGAAGATTATGAATAAGACTAATGAGAGTAATAAGAATAATGCTGTGTGAACTGTCTGTCAGTGTTTCTGGAAACCTCTTTTCCATGTACGTAAGGAGTAAGTTTCCTCCAGCTGTTGTGTGGGACTTACCTCGACAAGGGTCGTTCTTCACCAAGAATTCATCCAGCGCCATCCAGCCACCTCCAACACGAACCATGACTGTACTGCGCAGGATTCGCACAAGACGCAGCTGCTGTGAGTCTCCGAACTGAGGAAAGAGGAGGAAGAGTGGAGAGGAACGAACATGGATAAGAGAGGGAAGAGGACAGACAGACAGATAAAGGATTATACATTTATAATGTCTCTTAAAGGGATAGTTCACCCACAAATTAAAATTCTACTCATGTTGTTCCAAACCTGGTATGTTTTAAAGAATTTTTACGAATTTGTCTTTTCCATACAGCGATCTGCATGTATATAATATCTTTGTTCCACATAAAAAACAACACTGAAGTTTGGAATGACACGAGATTGAGTAAGTAATGTGAAGTACAATGGGTGAACCATTCCTTTAAGATCACATTCAAATTAGTTAATTATACTAATTATATTCTGAAGCACCAGGCAAATCAAAGGAAATCACACTGCAACATGCAGCAAGCCACATTTTTTAAGATCGACATGATTTTTGTTAGAGCTTGCCCAGCTCAAATCCCATCTCTACAATAAACACCACACCACAGCAATTCTCTGGAATTTTTTCCCTGATCGGTTGTCCTTTTTTACTTCAAAGAATTGCTTTGGTTGAAGGTTTATTTTCAAGAAATCAGCCACTGGATAATTTTCCTCCACCAAAAGCCCAAAAAACCCTAACATCATAATAGAGAAGGGCCTGTAAATCAGAATCATTTCCTGATCATGATAAATTATTTTCAATAAAAAAAAAACAAGCACATCCCAACCACAACACGTAAGCTGAACCTTTGAAATCTGCCACTGGATTTGGAGGGCGTATATAAACATTTAATATTTTGGCATTAGCACTGCAATTTTTGTCTCTCAGACAGGAAATGCCCGCTGAGTAAGCAGGAAGAGACTAAAGAAATCCCCATTTCAGACAGCAGCCAAGAATGTGGGCTGTCCACAGGGAATTCTTAGCTAGTCCATGCAGAAACTGTCCAGTACTGATTTAGATCTGGCTGTCTGAAAAAGCTTGTGGGAACTGTGCAGAGGCAACAGATTTCAGAGGACATGTTACAAACACACCGCTCACTTTACCTGATTCCCAAGGAAGAACTACAATAAGTCCGGTGCACATGGAGGAGGAATAAAACAAAAAGAAAGAAAAAGAAAAAAAGAGAGTGAAATAACACATAAAGACATACACACACATTGACCTTTTTTGTTGGTATAATGATTCATGTCCTATTAACTATTCCTAAAAGTATGAAATAACTAAAACAGCATACAATGGAGGAAATGCCCATGGGAAGCATGGTGATTTGTTGCTATGAGTGCTTGTGAATGGTTGCTTAAAAACAAACACAATGAGGACAGCACAGCAGGTGTAGTAGTAAAGAGATAGACAAAGATGGACAAACATCAGGATGTGGAGTTAGCATCGTGGATCTGTAGCCTGTGCAATGCAACAAGTTAGTAAACACTCTTGTCAAAGATCATTAACCGCACTGGATAATGATGTTGGGGTATGAAAGACCACCCACTGACCATGACTGCAATTGCTAGAACAATGGGTAGATCATTAGTTGGGTGGTGAGAAGCACACACAGCATACGGATGTTGCTGTTAAGTGTTATGGTGGTATTGCGTACAAACACAAAACTGCCAATGCACCTTTATTCCAAAATGGCCAAGTCATACTGACGTAATTGAAAGAGTGCGATGCTGGTTAGAGTCGTAATATTATAATGGCAAGCTTAGGGATGGTCTGAATGAGGAGGTGCGATGATAACATAGCAGTGCCATTGTCATTTATAATGTCATATTAAATGTGTTAAAACATCTAGACTTGAATTCTAGCTTGACAAGTACTATTGGGCTCCAGACTCTCACCCTGTACTTGTTCTCTCCGATCTGCTCCACCTGAAACCTCTTGGCACATTTGCATTGAGCCACTTGTCTGGTGACCTGGGATACAAAAAAAATGGATTTTATTCAAAACTACATGATGCCAAACCCACAAAATTAATTTCTTGTCATCGTCCATACCTCATCCTCGATTTTATCAGCATCTGTTGTGGGTCTGTAAGCATCTTTGTTGGGGTGCAAAGCAGCTACAAATTCATAGTAGTCGATGTAGCCATCACAATCACGGTCAAAGATATCAGCAACAGCAGTCATCTCCAGCTTGCTGGTTGGGAACTCTGCAAACAAAGTATATAGGTAAACTGGCGTTAAAATAAAGGCTCATGAAACTGGCAAGATTACAGGCAAGTACATGCGCCCGTACTTGATGCCAAGATGCCATCGATAAACTCCTGGCGTGTGATTTTTCCATCCTGGTCCTTGTCGATGCGTCTGAAGAAGTCCATGACGCGAGACTTCTTGTGGTTCATCCAGCGCATGTATTTCTTCCTCCACACATCAAAGTCAAAGTTGGCAAACTCTTTAAGCTAAAGGTGGAGAAGGGTCATTACTTCTACTGATAAGATTTTAGTACACAGAGTAAAATTAAAAAAGTATATGTAAAATAGATGCAGTACCTCTTCTAGTCTGTCGAGGGCATCATTGAGCTTTCGCTGGCGATCGAGTGCGAGCAGCCACACCTGTTGCCAGCGAGAGCAGAGCTGGGTGAGGCGAGGGTTACCACCGGTTACCTGTACCGAATGCTGTTGTTGCTGCTGCTGCTGGTGTTTCCCTGTAAGAAGGGCACAGAAAAATATGTTCAGAATTGTATACTCAGCAAGTTATGCGCTATATTAGTTTAGCTGAGCAGCTGAGGATAAAGTTTCTTACGGGCCCCTCTCCTGTCTGACAGACTGCTGGGATGTTCTGCTGGTTTCCTCTTGTATGTCTTTGTAACTTTGTCAACATCAGGCTGTTTTCGGGTCATCTCTTCCATAAACACCTGATAGAAGAAAACAAAAATACTAAGAACCATCTCAGCACTAAACAATGCAATTAATATTAAAAGACTGAGTGACAGAATATGAACAAATGATTGTGTCCCAACTAACCTGATGCTCTGTGATGAGTGTCTTCAGTTGAGGGATGTCCTGCGGGAGTGGTTCAGTATCACGCTGCACCAGTGTGGTCTCTGCCCACTGTAGCCATGACAACAGCTCCTCCAGTAGTGAAGCATTGTTGAGCAATTCAGCCAGAGCCGTCTCCAAGCGCTGCTCATGCTGTTTGGCCCATGTCAGCACCTGTACAGCAAACAATCATAAGCATTTCAGACCTATTATATTATGCTTGACACTTATTTGTCTAACTATTTGCCTAGACAGGCTTCTGATGCCACAGTTTAGATTTTTCTCAGTTCTCACCTCTTCAAAGCGAGCTCTGATGATGGTGTTCCAGTGTTTGATGGTGGTGATGCAGTCTGGGTGGCACACAGCTAGAATGGCTTCGCCCATGCCAGCAGCTTTATTCACATCCACTCTCTTCTCTTCCACCGTCTGCATGAAATCTCGGTGCGTGTGCAGTAGCACCTGCAGAGTCTCCACCTCCTCTGGCAGGACGCCACGGAAACGCAATGTTTGCTCCGCCTCTGACAGCCACTCCAGCAACATCTGAACAGCTGTGCGGAACTCCTCTGCCTGCAGAAAGAGAGAGAAAAAGAGATAGTCAGAAGAAAATATTAACACTGCTCTTGGTTTCGTTCAAAGAACGGTCAGACGTACCTGTTTGAGAGCCTGCTGGAGGCGAGTCTGTTTTATAACGGACAGGGCACAGACTGTTTCCCAGCGGTTGCTAAGCTCCTGCAGTTGAACTTTGACCCAGGCGGTGTCGTCCCGGCCCGTCTCCATCAGCTCTCGGGCGGACCGCTTCAGAGCCTGCACACTACTGGTCCTTTTCCCCAGCTCCTTCTGGAAGACCTGAGGAACAATAAATACAGCACTATCACTAAGAAACTGTCCTACTCAGTAATGGCTTTCCTAGTAAGAGTCTCATTCAAGCCTCACTGCGTCAATAATGCAGGGTTCATGTATACTATGCAATGAAATTCCAGGACTTTTCAAACATTATATTTTGGGTTTCAAGGACCACACTAAAAGATCTCATTTTTATATATATATATATAAAAAACGTTTTGGAAAATATGTTTAAAAAGGTCTTAAATTGATTTGAAATGAATTAGCACAATTAATGCCTACAAATGAAATTTGTAGTTAGTCTTCAAATTTCATGTCATCTTTAAAACCAAGATTTCCTAAGAATCACCCTATTAGTACCTTATGAGAATCCATGAGGTTGGAAACGAGATCCAGATCTCCATGGACAGGCTGGTCCTCTGCAAGCTGAGGTTCCACACGATACAGCCAGTCAACAAGTGCCTGGAGAGCCTCAGCGAACTGACCTGAGAACAAGAGGGCTTCCTCCAACTTGTGTTGCCTGAGAAGAAAAACATCTCAAATTATTTGTTTCACTTCATTCTACATCCAATCATATTCCAAATGGGTAATTCCAGTCCTTCTCACCTCTCCACGCTCTTTCCACACACCGTGTCCCATTTGTCACGGACCTCGCCCAACAAATGATCCAGTTTTTGTGTGTCTGACGGCAGTGTGGCCTTGTCTCTCATGGCCTTCCCAGAGCGCACTGTGGTGTCATACACTGGCTGCTTGGAGCCAAGAGACTTCTGGAAATCCTAAAGTACAGTGATTAAAAGATAATGGGCATAAGAGATAAGGCTTGAAGTTTTCAGCTTCACAAAACTCTTTAATGCAGCAATGCTGTACCTTATGTTTGGCCAGTTGGATTTTAATCTTGTCAGGTTCATTAGAGATTTCCAGTTCAGAGTCCAGTCTGCTCTCTGCTTCCTCCAACCAGTCTGTCAGCTTCCTCCAGGCCTCATGAAACTAGACAAGAGAAGATTGCCAACATCAGAGATGAAGAGAGGTATGATCAGAGCAACAGACAGAGTAAAGTAAACCAAACAGTACCTGTTTGGCTCTCTTGCGGGCCTCATCGAGGTGGCGTCCTCTGTCTAGTGATCTCTGCACAAGTTTGTCCCAGCGGGCCTGTACGCTGAGCAGCAGGTTCTTGATGAGAACCACATCCTGTTTGAGACTGGCAAATCGCAGCTGAGAGCCAGCTTTCTCTAGAGCCAGAACCTGCTCTCTGTGAGTGTTCACCTCATTCACAAAGACCTGAAATACAAGACAAGATAAGGACTCAAGTTTCCCAAAAGTATTCAATTGTGAAGGTATTTTAAATAAACAGGAACATCAAAAGCAAAAAATATATATAATACCGTTCAAATGTTTGGGGTCTTTAAGATTTTTTTTTAAGGTTTTTGAAAGTGCCATTTATTTCAGATATAAATATTGAACAAACAAAACTAAGTAAACCACATTTTCTACCAACCTTGTGCTCATCTATCTGGAATAGGACAGTGTCGAGAATGAGACTGGGTGGCTGAGCCATGTTGAGAGTCTGCTCTGCCTGTGTCAGCCAGTTAATGGTGTCCTGGAGGGAGGATTGGAATCCTGTCGCCAATGAGACCGCTTCCTCCAGTTTACCCTGTGAAAAGAGATGGACGCAGAGACAGAAAGATTAGGATTGGAAGGCAGAATAAGATATTTCATGAACCTGTTAATAAATTAAAGAAACCGCTTTTTAAACATGAATAAGGTCATAAATCAGTCTTTGGTTCCCTCACCCTTCTGTCATCCATTTTGGCATTGAAACTGGCCCACTTGTTCGTTAGCAAGGCCAGGTTCTGTTGGGTCTGGGTGGTACCAGGTCCAGCATCCTCCCCTCCTCTGGCCAGAAGAATGGACTCTCCCTTATCCAGCAGTCGATGATACTGCTCACCCCTGTGGGTCAACTGAGCCTGGAGCTCCTATAAACGGGACAGAGGAAGATAAGTTGATTAGTCAACAAACATTGTCATTGTTAACTAAAACTATTTTCATTAATTAAAATAAAGCTGAAATAAAATAAAATGAAAAACTTAAATACTGTTGCCTTGGTAACTGATTAAAATAAAAATAAATTAAATCCAAATAGAGATAAAAAAATCAAAAACTAATAAAAATGGCAAAAGCGCAAAATAGAATGCAAATGCAGTATTTAACATGTAATGTACATTTTTGTGATTTCCAAAGAATGCTAAATAAATGAATAAATAAATAAAAATGTACAACTATTTCCTATAATTTGAAATTGTTATAAGAAGTTGTATGTTTGAGGCTGGTTTGATCTCTAATGGGTGGACTAGAGGTGAACTCATTTAGCGTACCATGTGTTGCTGCAGCTGCTCTCTGGCAGTCTCAGGCAGGCCACCTGTGGGTTTGGCAGCGGACAGCTGACTCTCTGTGCGTCTGAGCCACTGCAGAAACTCCTCCAACTCTCCATGGAAACCCTCCGCCTGACACAGAAACCATGCAGGGTAAAGACAATGAGCTAATTGATCCGACACCTGTACTACAACATTAAAGAGAACCATTCTCCATGCACAGCAACCCTCCAAACTGCAACCATTTTATTGAATCGACTTTAACATAATCCACTGAAAACAATGTATTTCAAGCTACAAACATATGCAGATGTACTTGTTTTTTATTGGTGCATTCAATTAGATCTCTCTGTATAATGATGTAGTAATATCTAGAGCACCTGTTGCAGGGCAGCTTCCAAAAGCTTCTGCCTCTCATCAGTCTTCAGCAGAAGGTTCTTCCAGCTACGGTTGAGCTCATCCAGCTGGTCTCTCAGGTGGTTGATTTCGTCTCCAGGACTGGACTCCAGCAGCTCAGAGCCCGCTCTGTTCACTGTCTCCACAGTGGCCCGATGGGACAGCACATCGTTTCTTAAAACCTACAAAGGGCAGCTTGATTAAAGGAATTTGCTTTAAAATGGAGATAACAAAAGTAGAGTACATAAAAATGAGGCCCAATGTGACGTACATGATGCTTAGCCAGCTCAATTTCGATGGCCTTGGGGTCAGAGCTGATGGGTCGCTGGGTGTCCAGTGTGGCGTGCGTGTGACTGAGCCAAGACTGCAGCTCAGAGAGAGCATGCTGGAACTGACCTAGAGCCAAGAGCGCACCCTCCAGTTTGTGCTGGTAGAGAGAAGACAGAATCAAAACAATCAAGAGTAAGAGCCTTTCATGTCTGCCCTCTAAAATGCAGTAACTACGCAACAATGTTTTCAGAGTTTTTTGATTGAATTTAAATTAACTTAGTAGTATTATTGTCATACTCCATTTTACAATTCCAAGACCTAATTTCAATAATCAGTTTGTAAGAATTGAGAAATTAGAAAATGCCGGGCAGTCTGGTTGAGGAAAGACCACTCCCCGAGAAGACAAAGGACCTTTCACGAAATTAATATTTGACTCTCTCTTGAGAAACTAGCATCCCCGAGTCAATCACCTCCCCCATGTTCTCTCTCTCTCTCACGCTGAGACCACCAGACATTCACCCAAAAATCTATATGGTTTAATGTGAATAATTATCATACAGTATTATACATGTTTGGTATCATTTGAAATGTCTCAGTGCGACTGGTACAAGTGTCTAATTCCCAAAGTAAACCAAAAGATAATAAAGTTCTTAAGAGTTTAGAGATAACTTGCACACAGAGGAGGGTGTGTCTTCCAGGCAAATGGCATTCTGCGCCCAAAAGGTGTAAACTCTGAATGCAAATTCCCATTGTTAGCAAATGTTTCCATGTGAAGTTTCTGTCTACATAAAGAAATGCAACAAGAGAAGGGCGATTCTGTAACTCAGATCAGCCCATAATGTTGAAGGACCTCAAAGACTTCAGCATTATGTATTTTTCTAAATGTCGGGTTTAGCCTAAATCTTTTACTCTTTATCTCTGAGTATTTTATGTTATTATATTGATTATCTTTGAACTGATTATGAAATTGGCATGATACATTTCCCTGACATAATAAATTGTTACATTTGATTTTATTCTGACTAAATCTGAAATTGTTTTCCCAAGTGGATTAAATGGATTCGTAAGTTACCGCAAAGTCTGCGTCAGATTAATGACGACTAATATTTGGCACTAATTCAAGTGTACTTGGTTTGCAAAGACAAGGAGTGAATTTCCGTTTAGGACAGCAAAAATGCTGCTTGAGCAACCTATATTTGGGTGTGTCTTACCCTCTGTTTTAATTTAATGTTACTTTAGATAAGTGTACGTGGGAAACCACGGCATGGCCAATCCAAAGCTATTATAAGAGAAGTAATGTTGGTCGACTTATATCTGTAGTAGTGGCCATACCTCTGCCTGAAGTAAACGTTACGTTAAATTCAAGTGTATGCAATTCCATGGGGGGCTATACCAAAAGTATCTTTGATTGAGTAAGCGTGAATGCGACCATCTCAGGTATATAGCCAATTAACTCTGTTTAGTGACCAAACTGACGAACTTGTGATCATGAGACCCGCGTTAAACAGAAGGCGTGAGGACCTCAAAGCGACATAGCTTCCTAATATGAACGGGTAAAAAGTTGAAAAGAATAATCAAATGTGCTGCTAAAGTATTATATAAATTACCATGGACCAATTGGCATTCTAACCTAAATTCGAAGTCCTAATAAAATGGAGTCAGATAAAAGGTTAATTGTAATCAAATTACTTTGCCACGCGGAAAGACAGTAACGCGCAGAGACCTTCACCCGTTCTATCGGAAACCGCCATTGGACCGATTTAGACGGGCTTACAAGTGAAATATTGTATTATTATTAATAATAACAACAATTTAAGAATTAAATAATAATTCATTAGCTTAACTGTAGGCTGTTTTAAGGAGCATTTGGATCATTAAACTGAGGTCATATGTGTGCATTTATCTGCATTTTATAATGTCTCATCCGAGTCTGAATAATCTGTTTTTGTAATTTGTTAGTAAATGCAAAAGTTGTCAGAGATAAGAAAACTGTCTCTCTTTCCTCACCTGTCTGATTGTGATTTTGTCCACCAGGTTGTCCCACAGGTGGCGTAGCTCAGTGAGAGGCTCTTGAATCATGTCTCGGTCTGTTTGGTCGCTCACTTTCCTGAGCAGCAGCTCTCCTTGGTGACTAAGCTTCTCCATGTCAATCTGCTGCTGGTACACCTCAACTTTATATTGCTGTGTCATGTACAAAGAAAAAGGGTCAATCCTTTTCTCAAAGCAATTTGAGAGATAAGAGTAGATAAGGTCTGATTCAAACCTTGAGCTCCTCTATCTGTTGTTTGACAGTGCTGAGGTCTGTCCCCACAGCTGGCATGTCACACAATTTGATGACAGCGTTGTCCAAGTAGTCAAACATGCCCTGAGGAGACAAAGTGATGAATGTGAACACAAAGTTGGCTTGACCAATCAGGGCAGATTTTGCTGTACCAACAGAGAAATAATAACCTGAAGAGCATCCTGGTACTGCACAGAGTCCGTCATGGCCTCTTCAAGTCTCTCCATTCTCTCTCTCCACGTGCGGTTCAAACCTTCCCAGGCGGCATTCATCTGTGTGTCAAATCAACAACATGGAGATATTTTGTTTAAATTTGAGTGAAGAGGGGCATTCCCCACATGTCTTATTATCCTTCTACCCTCTTACCTCATCAATGGTTTTCTTGACCTCTGGTTTCTCTGTCTCTCCACAGGCAAAGATGAGGTCAGCTCCAAGAGTTTGTACGATCTCCAGCTCTTCCCTCAGCCCATCTGTCTCTGCCTTAATGGCCTGTGTGAGATAAAAACATCATGACCTCATTCTCTTGAGATCTTTGTCTTGACACAACATTATGTAGTTCGATCTACTCAAGGACTGTTTTATAAAATTGGACACATTATTACACACATTTTGGGTTATAAGTAAGGATGGGTTAAAATGGTTGACTAGTCATCCATCTAATACCATTGGTTCTTTTCCTTTATAGCTGCTTGTTTTAAAAAAAAAATTATATTATTATATATTAATATATTAAATTAACCACGATTCATTGTGTGATTTCAGAAGTTAATTTGTTCTTCAATTAAAAACAGCAGTTATTGAATTTAAAAAAATAAAAATATATACATACATACATAATACGAGGCCCCCTAGTTAGCCCCCCCCCCACCTGATCTAGATCTTCCTTGAGACTGATTAGTGGACTAGCTGTTCAGGCAACCTACTGACTTGTCGTTTTTGAAAATATTTCGTTTTTGTACATCCTTGGTGAAAACTGATTTTAACCTAAGAAAAAGACATCCATCTCTTTTGTCGGACTGACCTCTGCTGCCTCTATTTGTTGTTTTATGAGTGAGGGATCCACCCCCGGGTCCTCCAGCTCTTTCACGATGTCCTGAGAGTCACGGAGCGTGCTCAGCAGAGCGCCCATGTCAGCCCAGAACTTTCCGGCGAGATCTAACACATCCTGGAGTTTACCTTCTCTTTCCTCCGCCCTCTGCCTGATTTCATCCCACAGAGAGCGCAGACGCAAGAGTCGTGAACGCACCGCTGAGGATGGGAACAGAATACAGATTTATCAAAACCTATAGAATGGAGTATTTTATACAGCCATATAGCATCATTTCAGATCAAAGATCTTTACCCTGTGCGGCAGGATCATCGTGTGGGGCTCGGCTGATGAGCTCTTCTCCTCGGGTACACAGGGCGCTGAAAGACGGCAGGAGTTTGTCCAGCTCTAGTCCTGTAGCCCGGTGCTCTGTCAGTTGTTCCCGGATCTTTTCCACCTCAGCGGCCACTGGAGGGGGCAGCCGCAAGCGCTGGACTGCCCCTTCCAGAGTCTCCAACAGAGGGTCCATTTTATCATGGAACTGAATGGAGAGAAAGAAGATGACAATCAAAACAAATACAGCACATTAAAGTAACAGGAGAAGGACCAGGCATATGGAGGAGGGAAGATTTATCCCGGCCACATGCAAAAGGGCAGAGGATGTTGAAGCTAAATAAGAAATACAAGAACTGAAAAGTGTATGCTGCTGTTCTTAAAGTGGAATTTTTTTTTTTTTTTTTTTTCTTAAAATTGAGCATGGGTGTAGGGAATGGAAGGTGTCAGAAATCTATTATTCTAAGGCAAAATATGCAGTATCCGATTATGTTTAGAATAAGAAATAAGGAATCAAAATGTATATTTAATATTTGCCCATCTTCTTGTACTTGCCATATACTAACAAGACACTGCCTTTAGGTCAACTGATGTAAACTAAAACTAGTCCATATCACACACCTGTTTCATCAGAATTATATAAAGTATTTCGATTTTTTAACAATTACTGAAAATTCCTGATTCTCAATCCAAAACACACGTTATATCAGAGTTTAAATCAGCAGGTGATGGTGTGCTTACCTCTACCAGCTGAGGGTGATGCAGAGAGCAGTGATGATGGAGGGATGGACACACACAGCACATCCACAAACATGAGTGATGGGTGGACGGATGGACCAAACGGACATGGGAGGGAGAGGTGGAGGGAATAGGCAAGGGGAGATTTGCAAGCAGGAATGGGGGAAGTTTAGGGGATACAGGAATGGAAAGGAGAGGGTGACAGGATATGGGGCACAGGGGTGGGACAGGTGGAGTCACAGTACAGTGGAGTTTGAAGGGATGGAGGTGGAGAAACAGTACAATGCGTTAATTCAACAGCATGCAACAGGCCAGCAGGAAGAATCGATAACAAACATTCAGCCAAAATGCAGCTGATGTCAGTTGTTATTTACAAAAAAAAAATGGACTTAGTGCGAAACAATGGTTAATTAAAAGTGATGTCATTTAAAATAGCTTAAATGAACTAAATGTAATAGAAGATATGATGATGACAAAATTTGTTGATACTGTGCTATATAATGCTGAACTGTGAGCTGTAACTCTTAAATAGATGACAAGCTGGGCAGCAGTCCAAAGTAAGCATGCTAACATTTTGGAGCAAATACCTGGACAGATTGTGACACTGCTTCATCCAGTGCTGTGGCTCTACTTTTGACGTCTTCTTTGATTCTGATGTAACGTCTCTCTGCTTCATTAAAACGTTGTCTCAATGTTGCTCCTTCCTGGGCACTCAATTCTGCCAGCTGTGGGCCGATCTTTAGCAGTTTGTCTATGTGTGGCTTGTGCTCAGAGATGGACTCTCTCAGAAGCTAGACAGAAAACGTATGAAACATGTCATGTGTCAGTTTTGAGCGTCTTAACCCATGTCTATAACCACAAAGAAGCAAAAGGGACTCAAGTCCTTCATCTGCACAAAGCCCAGTTACCCTCATCTGTTCTTGCTGTTGTCTGAGTGCCTCTGTGTCGATGGCGGGAAGGGGTAGCTGGGCAATCAGAGTCTCGGTCTCGCCCAGCCAGGGTTCAAGTTCCTCATGTGTCTCCCAGAAACGAGCCACCAGCACCTGAGCCTGCTCCAGAGCTGAGAAGCGCTCAGCATGACTCTGATTTACTGCTTCATAACGAGCACTTAAAGAGTCCGTCTTCATCTACAGGAGGAAAAGGAAAGAGGTTTTAGAGGGTCAACCAAATTAGTCTTTTGAGAGACTGAAAAACAAGTTTGCACTGTTGTTTTTCCCAAACATGACTCAACAAATCAAATCTCCACCGGAAAATGCATGAGTCACATCAATTCAATTTTCCTAATCTAACCTTTCGCTGAAGATTAATTACAGTATATGGATTACTCTGCCCCCTCCCTCCCTCTCTTTCTTCTTTTTTTTGTCTCTAACCTTCAGAGCCTCTCTCTGCTGTTCACTGCAGCTCTCTAGGATGTCCTCTCGTGTCTTAAGAAGTTGGTCCACGGTGTCTTTGTGACGGATGATGTCAATGTTAAAGGCTCTCTGCACCTGGAGCTGTGTCACAGTCACATCGGGCTCCAGACTCAGAGGCCCCAGAGACGCTAACTTCCTCTCTGTCTCTCCAACCCAGGTCAGCTCCGCATCGACTGCCTCTTCATACTGAAACAATAACACACCGCCAAAAAAGTAGTGTGACAAAAATATTTACAAATTCAAGTAAGCAACATGGACACAGCGTCTTAAATCAAATATTACTAAAGCAACAATTTATGTTACATATTTATAATAACATTGTACAAGTGTTGCTTTTATGTAATAACATTTTAAAATAGAATGAAAACAATAAGCAATTAAATTGAATATTATAAAAAATAAGATAAAACTACTTTCTAAAAGAAAATACCAATGTTTGCAAAGAATAATAAGAATAATCCTTAAGCAATAGTTTATGTATATATATATATATATATATATATATATATATTTATTATAAATTTTATTATTACATTTATTATAATTAATATTTTGTTATACTATTTTTAAATGTTATATAATTGTAAAAAGGACAAGAATAATCTTAAAGGGGTAATCGGATGCCCATTTTTTCACAAGTTGGTATGATTCTTTAGGGTGTTCATGTAAAGTTTGTAATATACTTTGGTTAAAATTCCTCAATGGTATATAATAGTATAAATAGCCTAAACAATACATATATAATAGTATATATAGAATATAATACAATACATTTGTACAATTTATTATAAGAATGTATATATTTGGTTATATTATTTAAAAAATAAAAAGACATATTACAATATATAAATATTACATAAAACTTTATTTGAATTTCCTAAAAAAAAATTGCAAGCCAGGCAGGGAAAGAATAATCTTAAAGTTTTAAGTTTTGGTTCTGTGTTAAAGGAGTAGTTATCTTTAAAATTAAAATGACCCCATGATTTACTCACCCTCAAGCCATCCTAGGTGTATATGACTTTCTTCTTTCAGACGAATACAATCTTATATTAATTAACACCCTGATGCTTCCGAGGTTGATAATGGCAGTGAATTGCAACCATCAGTATGAAGCTCAAAAAGGTTTGAGAGTAAATCATGGGGTAATTTTCATTTTAAAGTGAACTACTCCCTTAATGAAACACACAGACATATAAATGTACAGTATTTGTTGCAGTACCTGCTGTGACCTTTGGATGGCAGCCTGCACTAACTGCACTCTCTGTGTGATGGTCTCGTCTGCTTGGCGGTAGCGCTGATTGGCATCGGCGACCAGGCGGTCAAGGCCTTCCCGTGCACGCCAGGGCACCAGATCCAGTAAAGCACTGCCTACCTCATTTACAGTGTCCAGAACTAGCCTCTTCTCAGCAGACACGCACTTCAGCTCCTGAGGCAAAAATACACACAACATAAAATAATGAATGGACTGAAGACATAAAAGAAACTAATTTGATTTAGCTAAAACAAAAATAGCTGTGTATGGTCTAAAGAAAAGTAAAGAAAAGAAAAGAAAAAAGTAATTCATGAACTACTGATAAAAAAGTAGACATCCTCCTCACCCTCTGTCTGTCCTGATAGGCTGGTGTTGTATCTGCCTCAACGTTGTTAAGCTCCGCCTCCACGCTATCCAACCATTGGTTGATGTCATCGTGTGAGCTAGCAAATCGTGTGGCCAACTGAAGGGCCTGTTCCAGAATACGAAGGGCCTTGCTGCTGCCCGCTGTCATCTCTGCGTAGCGGCTTTTGATACCATCTAACTTCTCCTGGATCAACAGGACCTCCTCACCTGCCATAGCGATCAAACATAATTACAATCAACGGAGGAATTTGGTAATACACCAATGAACAAAGACTGGATGGTAAAGTACCAGTGGTTTGTTTAAGCAGAGCTTGTCCATTCTTGATGGCCTGGTCCACTGTCTTCTTCCTGCTGATAATCTCTTCATTAAGAGCCTGTAGGGGACCAGCAATATAAACATTAACTCAGGAAATAATGCAAAATAAAGTAAAGTAAATTAAAGATCAGAATGTAATCAACTAATTATTTATGTCTCTAAATTATTTTAATTTGGATGCTTTTCTCAGCAATTATTGGTATATGAAATTAATTAGATTAATTAAGCAGCATTTTATGTACTTTATTTGATTATAAGCTGTAATTGACTGACAGCCCTAGTGTAACACTTTCTTCAGTGAGTGACAGCAATTTTTTCGGATGAGGGCCGCTTGGCAGTATTCATCTTCTCTAAAGTGAACTTTTACTGCATTGTTGGTCCTGGACTGCTACACCCTGCAAAACCGTACCAGTGTGTGTTTGTGTTGCAGCTCTAGTAGCTCCGGCTGATAACTCTGTACTGAAACTTCAGCCAGTCTCTGGGCCACCTCAGCTAGCCAGTTAAGGACTTCCACCTCGTCCTCTCCAAATAGCTGTGCATTGGCCAGGGCCTGCTCCAGCATGGCCTCTCTCCGATCGCACCAATCACGCAGCTCTGTATGCCCATTGCGCACTGCCGCCACACGATCGCCCAGCCAATCTTGATCAGCCACACAGCTGAGCGGGTGCAGTGATTGGCTGAGCATCTCAAGATGGTCTACATCATTCTCCCGAGAGGACACCTCCTCATGGAGAGCCTGGGATTATATCCCAGATTAAAGAGACGTGATGGGATGGGATGAGTCGAAGGAGGAAAAAAAGACAAGGCAAACATAAACATACATGACAATGCAAAACAATGATAAATCATAGTTAACTGATGCAAGCAAAAAATAAAAATGTGAATCAACACAAGGTGAGATGGGAACACAACCATAAAAAAAAAAAGAAATCATGATGAAATTAAACTGAAAAACGGAAAGGATGTGGGCAGGATCACGACCAGAGACCTGAAATCCGTGCCTTCTTAGATAACTGCACTCCTACTTGTCCATTTAAAACCACAGGAGACTGACAATCTGTTCTCTCCTCTGCATTTCTAGTCAGTCTAATGAAAATCGCTTGCTAAAATGATCTTGGTTTGGCAGCAACAGTTCCAGGACACATCTCTCCCTGGTGTTGCATATACTCTACCTTGTGCCGTACAATCTGCTGTGTGATTTTGGAGGTCTGGGTTCCCATTGGCTCAGCGGAGCTCAAACGTCTCTCTGTTGCGCTCAACCATTCCCCGAGGGGCTCCACGGCCTCATGGAACTGCAGCGCCAACACCTGCAGCTCCTCTAGCTGCCGTTGCCTGAGGACGTCAGGTTAGGAGGAAATCTGTGTTATATTCTTATTCTACTCTATTTTATGGCCTTGTAAAGCAAACAAGTGATTGAGTTCTGAGTAAGAGATTTGATTAAGAGGTTTTATGGTGGTGTCTGGGTGTCCGTATTTCTCTGATAATAGAGTTTACCTGGCGCTGGCCTTTTCCAGCAGGTTTGTCCATCTCTCTCCTAGGCTCTTAAGTTGTTTCTGGATTTTGTCTCTGTCTTGTGTCTCGGCCGTAGCAGCGATACGCTCTCCTTCTGCCCTGATCATCTCTACCGTCCCACGGCGGTCATCCAGCAACCGTTGCAGCAGCTTATAAAAATATGGAATACAGGTTAGTGACCTAAATTTATTTATTTCATATTATGTAGAAGGATAGATTAGTCTAATTAGTCTGATGCAAAATAAAGGGACGCTAAAGTCTATCAACTTGACTGAAAAATGAATATATACATGAAAAAAGTTTTAAATGTAGGTAATATTAAGATAAAGCAAACCACCTTTAAAATGTATTGAAATTAATTAAATTCAAAATTGATTTAAATGTAACCTTCTGCTCCTGAATTTGTGCCTTGACCACACGGTGCTCAGCGGATGGAGGTTTCTGATTGACTATGAGCTCCTCTGTGTCACTCAGCCAGCTCAAGAGTGGCTCTAGAGCATCTTGGAACTTCCCACAGTGCAACAGGGCCTCCTGCAGCTGTGCGATTCTTTCAGCAACCTGTGAATAAAATAATAAAACATTTTCAAAAAGACTTTCTCAGTCCATTAAGAAAGCAGGCTAAAAATAGATGCAAGCTTACCCTCTTGTTGAGGGAGTTCCAGCGCAGGTTGGTGGTCTCCAAGTCATGTTCCAGGGCCTGAGTGTCGGTGTGTTTGGCTGCACTCTGGATAAGACCTTGACCCACAGCGTTGACATGCTGCAGTTTAGGCTGAATGCTGTCAAACTGCTCCCTTTCCACTGCCTAAAGTTTGAGTGATAGAGAGAGAACAAGTGACTTGAGTAGCGCATAACCAACACTCTTGTTATGTTGAATGTGTCTAAACAGGTCAAGGCTGTACAAACACAACAACATGATAATGGTGGCATGGCCATTTATAAATGGGGAAGCAGTTTTCAGCCCCCACACATTGAATGAAATTAAATCCAGAGCCTTGGCAGCAACATTGTACAGCTCTATTTCTCCAACAGCCTAACACTACAGCTCTGACAGAATATCCAACACAGTGGTTTCCCACAAGCAGGTTGCCAAATCCCCCTAACCAACATCATAACCAGCAGTTACCTAAGAGAAGTTTGGCGTCATCATGAAACCGATTTTAGTTTTGTAATGTGACTTATCACAATATTCAACAGGAAAATGTCCTTACTAAATCTATCTGGAATGAGTAAGTAGAACTTCAGTACCAATAAAAAAAGTATGATTGAAATTCAGACATACTACATCCGCTATGCCTGGCTTTGTTGTGATAACTTCAGCTGCCTCGATTCACTGCCATCCACAACTCCTCTCCCGTAGCCTCATGGGATAGAAAAGTGTCCATTGGATGCACACTCCAGAAACTGACATCTTACTCATTTCACATACTGTTTTCCACCTACTATGTAGTAGAGAAGTAGGGATACTTAAAATTATTAGTATTTTTAAATATTAACTTTGAGTGTTACATGCTGGCAAAAGTAATCTAACTGTAAATCTAAGGAAACTGTAAATCTAAGGAAAATGAGCATGCGCAATTAAATACAATCCAGCATCATTTGCCTGTGTATATTTAAGTGCTTTGCATGTGAGTGTATGTAGTTTGTTTGCAGTTGGGGACTTCATTCCTGCTTTAAACAGGATGTCTGTCGGCCTCAGAACAATAAGCCACAGCTTCAACCTGCTCCACCCTCTCGTCGACAGTATATGGGACTGGGAAAGCTTATGCGTCTGCGCAACGAAGAGTGTTTGGTCCCCTTTTGTCTTTCTATATCCTGTCTAACATTATCCTAAATCTATCATCTAGGCCTCCTCCTCTTTACCCACGGTGTGTACACTTGGAGCCATTTCCCGTTTTTAATCCTGATCATTCATCACATGTGGCACTTTTCACCCACAAGCACAAAAATAACTCCATTCATCTGCATCTGTAGCAGATCTTCCACAACTCATGTGGCCAAATCCAAGGGAAAGCTGTTAATTATTTCATAGACAATAATATATCTACATGTTTGTGCTATGATTAATAATTCACAACAGAAAGAGAGGGAATTTAGTTTTGTCAGAAATCTGAACAAAGAAGCACATATCCACATGCAAGTAGGACGTAGCTATACATATCTATACAACAACAGAAAGAGGTCAGCGCAAATAACAATCTCTCTTCTCTTTACTCGTTCTCTCAGAGAGTGTTTGACTCTTGTAATGCAGACCTCTGGAAAATATCTAGGATGCCAGTCATTCCTCTCAAACACTCTCAACCAATCTGGTCAGCAGCCCAGTCACATGCACACATACATAAACAGGACTGCTGCACACTTATCTCTCCAGCACTCTCTTTCTCTTTTGTCACCAAACTTTAAACTCTTTTGTCTCTCATATGAACCCCCACAGATCACTTTTAGCTAATGGCAGCACTCCATCCTACCGCCAACACACATCATCACCGCCATTGGAATCTTTTGTTTCTTTCTCTTCATTTCAAACCACAACTCCACACTGTTTAAGCGGGTATGCCCACATTTCGCTAAAGAAAATATTATAATAGCTGGATAGGAGTTAACCTATATACCCCACACTATGTGCTGATTTTTGCTGAGCTTTCTAAACCTTATATTGTATCTGAAAGCATCACGAGAAATTAATTATTGTTCCATTATTTTGCTGAAGGCAAGATAAAATCAATCAGACAAAATTACAGTACCAGTCAAAAGTTTGGACACATGCAAATGGATGTATTTTCTCATGAAAATCTTAAATTGAGTCTATGTATGAATTTCATACAAAACTGTTGGATTTTTTTAACTTGAAGTCAGAATATACAACAGTTTTGATAACCACCATTTGGTCACTGCATATTTCCTATACTTCTATTTGCATTTTTTCATAATGTGGATGACTTTATTATTACTATTTTGAAGTGTGGTCAAACTTCTGGCTGGTATTTTATTTAAAATTCATGTTAAGAGTGAAAAAAAAACCCAAAAACTTTACACATGAGCATGTACTGCTAGACAAAGTAGGCTGTACATGTCTGATTTCATGGAAATTTCAAGGTAATATTTTTTTTAATGTACTACAAATGTAGCATAGACGGCCGTGGAATTCTTATTTGTATTAGACCCAGAGCATAACCATAAGAAATTCAAAGCTATAAACGTCTAAAACCATCAAATTAAAATAGAAAAAAAGAAAAGAGGCTATCTTGTCAGTCTGGACTTGATATCACAGGAAATCACAATAATATAATTTCTTTCAAATCAATGAAAACATAGCCTCTAGCAACTTTCTTGTTCTATAGAGACTCTCTCCAGTCCTACTCTTCCTGTCTTTGCTTTCACCTCCTGTGTTTTTCCGGTCTCTCGGTCCCTCAGCCCCTCTTTACCCCCGTTTCCTTTTCAAAGGACTTTGGATGACTACATTTTATCTGACCCAAATGTTTTAACAAGGAAATAATTTACATGGTTCCATTAATACATACTTAGCAAATTAGGCTGAAAACAGTCAATGAGTTTACAGCATATGTGACTGCTTTGTTATGGCTGTTGTTGTGCCGACGGGGCCACAGGGTTCGCTCAAACTCTTTTGTTTGTAGCGGTCTTTAATCACAGGTGTTTCCCGCACTGTCTTTCACTGTCATCACTATCCAAACAATCAAATATACCCGCTGTTACCATGCCATAACAGTGCTCACTCCCACCCTGATTGCTCTTCCCTTTCCACTGTACGTATCAGTGTGTCTGTTTACCTGACCGTCTCTAAAACTCTACCCTGGACAGACTCAAAAATGAGTGTGGGTTTCAGATGTTACGTCAGATGTTTCTTCTGACGCCTCTTATTGCTCATGCAGCTCTTATTTTGAGTACTACCAGGTGTTCTGCCATAGAGACTCTTTGTTCATTCATGATCAGGCTGTTGCAAAATCTTCTAACTTTACCCTCCAAATCAGCACCCATTGCAAGCGTGCAATTTCACTGGAGACTGCCCGTAACGGAGAGCAGCTCCAAAAGATTACAAAGATCTTTCCTGAGGTCTGTGGTTGACTCCCTCGGCTTTTGGCATTGCGGGGGCGAGAGTCTGGCCCTGTATTGATAGGACTGACATGTCCTTATCATCTGTTTACATTTCCAACAACTTTATACAGTGTTTGTGTGTTACTGCCAAATGTGGCTCTTCTTATAGGGCCTGATGTTTATTTCTCACTTCCTTATCTCAATTGCAGCACCATCAGACTGCAGCTGGGAAGAAAAGAGGAGGATTTGAAGTGGGAAGAGATTTTGAGTTAGTTTGGCACTGGACGACAGCCACCCCTCAAATCAGTCATTTTGTTCTGCTCTTTTAATTTTTTTCTATCCCAAACAAGCTTAAATATAATTTGCTAGCTGATCCTGTTCAGTCCCTCAGTTGCTATAATCCTCTCTACCCAAATCCAGCCTGATAGGGTTCCTGCATCTGATTACACTTGAAGGGATGGGGAGTTTAGAGAGTGACCATACAGAAAGGCAGATTTGGCCCAGGCAGAGGGTCAAATGAGATGTGGATGATCAGTCAGGCTGATAGTAATGCAATAACCATCCAGAAAGCTTAAGAACTAACAGGCAGTCTCTCGGCCACCCGCCACTGTCACTGTGAAGCAGAGCAGACACAGGCCTTCTCACGACAGCCGAGAGAGAATGTCAAGCGCACACTCACATTATGTCAAGAAATCTAACATGTATTTATAAAAAACATTCCTGTCTGTTTTTTGACTCCTAAATCTTATTCGAACACATACAGTGTGCTCTGCTCACTTAGACAAAGCAGTGCTCAAACAGGCAGAAAAAAGCAAACGCATGCAAATGTGTGCACAAACCCATTTGCCTGAAACCAAACACACAACCGACTACTTTGGAGTAAGCATGCTTTTTTAACTCAACTAGCTTGCTTGTGTTCATGTTATCCCCACTGCAATACACAAAGAATCCCAGGTTATACACATACTATGTGCCTAAAGACATTTCAGACAATAGTGATTATGAATATTAATGGATTAACCAATCATACATAAGAAGTCTGTGTTTTGACCCCATGAACAAAAACACACATTCCTTCAAACTAAACACAAACACACTATTAAGGACCGGAAGGATCAATGAAAGGATATGCTTGGATATTAAGACAAAGTGTATATATATCATTACTGTGCAAAAGTCTTTTTTTTTTAAAAAAAATACATAATTAAGCCAGTTATTTATATTTTTTGCTGTAGTGTATATATATCATTACTGTGCAAAAGTCTTTTTTTTTTTTTTTAATACATAATTAAGCCAGTTATTTATATTTTTTGCTGTATGCTGTACTCTGCCGGTATGATCCACACAGAGATCTGATCTTACCATCGAGTCCATCTGGGATTACATGAAGAAACAGAAAAAACTGAGACAGACCAAATCCAGAAGAACTGCGGCAAACGTCTCCAATACACTTGAAGAAACCTACTTGCAAAGCTGCAGTACTGTGAAAAGTTGTAGGTACTTATGTAAACATGCTGTAAAGTGAGGATGCTTTCAAAAATAATGTCATAAATAGATTTTATTTATCAATTAACTTCTATAAAAAAAAATCAAATCAATATTTGGTGTGACCACCCTTTGCGTTGCCGTTTAAAACAGCGTTTGTCCTCTGTACACTTGCACTAGCTTTGCAGGTAGGTTTTGTCTTGGAGACATTGCCAGAGTTCTTCTGGATTTAGTCTGTCTCAGTTTTCTGTAGTTTGTATGTCTCAG